TTAAAAACAAAAACGACAGCATTAAATAAAGTAAGAAAGAAATGCCAGGCTGACTGGGTCCCTCAGCAGTGGACTATCCCGGGATCTTGAAACCGAGAGAGGGCACTTCCGGCAGCTCCGAGAGACGAAAAACAAGCACGTAAACCGAACGCCGCGTTCGCACAAAGGGAATCAAAACAAGGGTTCCGGGCTCGTGATCCTTCCGGCCCACATTTGCTTTATTTTCGCTCTATAAACAACGGCCGCGTTATGCACAGAGTCACAGACCTCGTGACAGCGCCGACGGGGTCCTATCAGGACCTGAGGGCGGCAAAAGAATGCCGGCAGCTGTTGCCTGTGCAGGCGCCGATGCGCTCTAGCCGCTGCTATTTGCACTGAGGTTATGCCAACGCCATTTGCTATAGAGCCTCCTCTAAGGGAAGAAGAGAATAGCAAAAAGGAAAACAACAAAAGCTCGTTATTCGTTTTACTTTTTTTTTTTTTTTTTACTACAGTTAGTGACAGCTTAAAAAACGCAGGACGCGGCGAATCCTAATAATATTATTCTTGTTCGGTAGCCAATGACGTTGTTGCAGCAAGGCGTAAAAGGGACCACGAAATGATTCTTCAACTTGTTGCTCCCTTGCTTTAATTCTCAACTCAAAAGCGAAATGAGGAATCACGTGGTCGTGACATGATTGGGCACCGGAGTTGATGACCTCAAGCTCCCGCCGTGCTTTTTTAAGCATGCCGTGGAACTTGTCATTCGCAAGTTCCGCAGCGTGCTGGTCACTAGCAAGTTTTTTTTATTTGTTTTTATTTGGGTTTTCGCAGGGGCACCCGGTATGGACCTTCGGTCTCTTTGCTGTACTGCCCGTCTCTTCAAAGCCAGAAATAAATTAAGTGAAAGGAAAAATGCAAGTGATGACGAGTGCCATAGCGGCACTTATTGGCCACGAACGCGAATCCAAATATTCGTCGACGGATTCATTGTTGACGAGCGCACACGTCCGAGTGACGCAGTGTTTGTGTCCAATGCGTAAGCGGGGGTCGGCTGACGTGCTTTGGTACCGCGGATGTATCACTTTCGAAGGAATGGAGGTACGAAATAGTCCGCTATATTTTTTTCGAAATTTCGTACCTAAAAGCGGGTTTTGGGTTCCCTACCTTCGTGTACTAATATTTTTTTTAAATCCCAGTCTAAAATGATTTTTCTCATCCCAAAATTAATTTCATGGTCCCTTCAAGCTGTCGGCGACTGTATGGCCCTCAACCATACCTCGATTCATTGTTTACAAACCAGCGTGTATGCCCACAAAATCTGTAAACACTGCGCGTGCGCAAAAGAACAACATTTTATTTTTCCAAAAGAGCGAAGCATCAGCGCATGGTGAAGCCTGCCTTTTAAATGCAGTTCTCTAGACATAATTTTCTAAAATACTGTACCACTCGAGCTTCTTGCAAACTGTGTGGAGTGCAAGTTCGTCTGCTTTTCGTCTGCAAGTTCGTCTGTTTCGGTGACGTCAGAACGCCGCGCTCTAATTGGCTCCGATCGGAAGGATAGCGAGTAGACCTCAAGGAAGCTAGCATTGGGGTCTACCCACTATCCTCCCATCATGGCCAATCAGAGCTCAAAGTTATGACGTAACTGCAACCCCTGCACAAGAAGCAGACCAACTTGCGCTCCACATGGAGTCACTGACAGCTCAAGAAACGCAGGGTGCGGCGAGTTCTGAGCATTTCATTATCGCTCCTCAGCCAATGAGATTGCGGCGTTCAAGGATAAGAACAGCGAAGAACACACACACACACACACACCAATTTCAAAAGGAATGACGCCACTGTGAGTGGCGTCATTCCTATACATGTCCGCATAAGGACATGTATAGATGACAGTGGCGTCAATCCTTTCCAAAATGAGGCAGGAGTGACCGTTAACTTTGTTACCGTACTAGAACCGTATCTTAACAGCACCTTTATTTCGTTTGACAACCAGCTTTTTCTTTAAAAAAGAGGCATCTGCATTGCGTCGTGCGAGGCTGCCATACTGTGTAATACTTTTTTAGCAACAATTAGCGCCGAGATGTTTCGGTGGCGCCCTCCTATGGTTTCTATCCGTGACGTCACGACTGGGATTTGCCTCGCAGTGACGTCACCAGTTCTTATTCTGACTACTTAACATCAGGTGCGACGACGAGGTAGGTGGTGTGTTTAAAAAGCACAGTGGAAACTAGAAGCCATCGCAATCCGAAACTAACACCGTCAAAGTTGACAATCTAAGAATGCTCATATGCCCATGGTTTGGCCAATCGTGGAAAACTGACCGCAGCGACGCTTTTGGTCGTGCACATCGCTAATAGATCGGGCGCTCGAAAAGATTCTTAGTGAGTTTAACGCTTTTAAAGTTTTTAGATACGTAGATGATTTTTTTTATTGTTTTTAATGAACGATCGTCTTTGACGTACCCTGAGGAGGTGAATCCAGTGGTAGAGGCTTTTAGATAACATGGGAATGGATTAACTTTCACCCATGAACTGCGTAAGCAGGGTAATCTACAGTTTTTAGATTTGAGTTTTAAGGTCCTAGAAGAACGCACGTGTTGCATGTATTCCCCACGGTCCCGGAACGTACTCCTGCCCTATGGTTTCGCGCATTCCAAGGTAGTAGAAAGAGGAAACGCCATGCTATGCCTAGAGTCGGCCGCCAGAAAGTCATGTGCGCATTGGATGCAGACAAGCTTTAAGAACCGAGTGACCAAACTCAATTGTCAGCGGGCTACCCTGAAACGGTAGTAACGAATGTAATAGAAGGCACCCTTCAAAAATTAAAAGGACATACAAGTACGGGAAAGACGCAAACGGCACTGAGCGAAATAAGGCCTGAGGTGGTACCGTATGTGCATCAAATGTCGCACAACCTCAAGAAGGTGGCGAACCACTTCGGTGTACCGCTCGTTTTTTGAGCTCCGAGCAAACTCGGCCAACTCCGCTCTCGTATTACCAGTGGCGGCGGTATAAGGCGAGGTTGCACCACAAAGCATGTTAGGCCATATGTTGAATGCGTCCCCCTTACCTGGTGGAAAGTCCTTCGTAGGAGAAACGGGAAGGTGTGCGTATGACTGACTAAGGGAGCACGAGCAAAAATTAAAGACGAAGGATGTGGCACATTTGCCTGAACGCTGCAGGAAATGTAAGTGTGAGCCGCGTCTTCCCGATAAAACGATTCTGGGTAAGGGAAAGAGCGAGAAAGTACGCCAGTTAATAGAGGCAGACTTTATCAGGAAAAGGGGCACACAAGGCGTAAGCGATACATTCATTTCACCATATAACGCGGAGATAAAATTTTTTGACAAGTTTTTGTAAGTGGCTGAAAAAAAAAAACTGAGTAACTTCCGGCCAAGCGCATGCGCAGACATGAGGAAAGTGACGAGATATGTATTTCTTTCTTTTCTGCACTTTTCAAATATAGTTGCGAGTGGCGCTTTTTTTTGCGCCTTACACCATGCTTCAAAAAGTGGAGAAAGTCGCAGTTAAAAGTCTTACGATATTTAATGTTTGACAATTCACACCAGGCTAAACGAAATTCAGTGATTTTCTTAAATATGCGCCCTAACACGGGCCCGGTCACACAAGCGTCGCGCACTGTGTTTTCGAATGCATTTCGACGTGCGTTTTGGCGTCCTTTCAATTGCTGTGCGCCACGGAATAGCACAAAGCCGTTCTGGAAATAAAATATTGCATTCAAAGACATTTTCAGGTATTTTATAGATGCGAAGATTTGGCATAATATTGTAGTGTCATGCTGTGCGAACGAAGTTGCTTCTATGCACCAGTTTTCACTTCTTCTTTTTTTTAATACTGAGTTTATATGATTTAGTTTAGTCTCAGCCGTCGGTTTGTGGATCTGACCAGAACAACGCAAAAAACTTTGTAAGAATAAAAACAAAACAAGAAACAGAGTTATTTTACGAGACTGTGGCCATCGCTCACTGCGCCCACCTATCAGAACAGAGTTCTAAAGTAACCAAACTGAATGTATTTTGATTAGTTAAAATTTCACTAAGTATACTCCTGAAGTTCCGAAGTTACAGTAAGTAACTAATTTCAGAAGTTACAGTAAGTAACTAACTTCGGGAGTTAGAGTAAGTAACTAAATTCAGAAGTTGAGGTAAGTTACAGTAAGTGACTGTATCACTATACGACCTACGGTTACATTTGAGAGTAAATTGTAATTTAGATCAAATACCATTACTTCCCACACTGATCTCGACAAATACGCAAATTCAAATTGCTTAAGCCTCAACATCAGCAATACACGTCGTCACTTCCTGACAGTGTATCATAAGCACAAAACTTCATCAAAACAAAGTGGCGCCATTATCTTTTCCGCGTTGAAAACTGAACCACTGGTATCAATCGTATACTTCTATGTATTGAGATACTTCAAACGTAATTGAAACGTAATTAATTGCTTTTCACAATAAATCTAACTGCTTCTAAATGCATTGGTAGTAATGTGACTGCCAGTGTACCTAATTACATTTTATTTGTAAAGTTGTAACTTGCTTCTTTTTCTTCTTTTTTTAGGAGTACCATTGCCAGTGACAGTTTCAGAAACGTAGGGTGTGGCGAGTCACGAGCCTCTCATTATCGCCCCGCAGCCTATCAGAGTGCGGCATACGAGGATGAGAGCAGTAAAGACCAATCACGAAGCAAGGAAACATCATAAGCCACGCCCCGCGTTTCTTAAGCTGCCTGCGACCATAAAAAAAGAAGAAAAAAAACTAGCGACAGCAAAACACATGCACACGCACGCACACACACACACACACACACACACTTTTTTTTATGGCTGAGTGCGCAGGTGAGTTCTTCATTCGACTAAAAGTCTTTCCTTTTCTGCACCGCAATCTCAGATGTTAAACGACATCGCTTTTTTCTTTCTTTTGTCGCATTTGCGCATTTAAACGGGCGTATTTCGGTCGTTTCCACATTCGCGGACGGTGTTTCGATTAAGACTGAATTGTCGTCGTTCTGTCGCAGGTCTTCCTGGGCAGCCCGTCCGAAGGCGAACTCCACCGGGGCGACCTCGTGCTCAAGATCGGCGAACGCGACACGGCGCGAATGACCCACAACGAAGCGACCGAACTCATTCGAAACAGCGGAAACCACCTCAACCTTCTCATACAGAGGTGAGCAGCTGCTCGCCGCCTCACCCTTACGCAGTCACACTTAAACTGCGATTAAGGTTGCCCCGTGTAACATAGGGTATGAGAAACCTTTGACGGACGACTGAAAGAGTGACTCAGCGCTGTATTTAAAAATAACAAAAAAAAAGTACCTTCATTATGTTGAGAAGGTAGTCACTGCGAACATTACGCACAAGTTGAATACCTAGCAATGCCATCTGGTTTGTGAATGCCCCATGTATGATGAGGAAAGAGAGGTGCTACTCGGAGGTCTCTACCGACTTGACTTTTGAACGTTCTCTCTGCGAAAAGTCCTATGTGCCTGCCTAAGATAGCTCGAAAAGTATTGACAACCCACGATTTGTAAAACTCGTGCAAAACGGTTGGAAAACGGGTCCTCACGGTGCATGGTCTGGATTGATACACGTGTGACGTAAAGCGAGTACTCGCAGTATGTTCCAGCCATTTGTTTCAACGTGTAATAACGTGTAGCGGCTCTCATTGAGCTCAGATAAATATCAATCAATATCAATACATTCACACAAACCTCGTCAGAGGCTTACAAAATCGACGTACCCGTGACAAAATGCGCGCTGCAGATCCCTCTTTGCTCGTTCGGCTGCCATTGTGGGACCGTCTAGCTTCCTCTCCCCTCTTAGAAAAAAATAAATAAATAAAATTGACGTTTTCTCTTTTGTGTAAAATTTATTAGTGCAGCCGTATGCGACACAGTGACAGTGCGTTGGCATTATGACAAACAAAGCGTCCCACGACGCAGCTTTCGCTTCCGTTGCAGCCTTGGAACGGCGCACAAACCCATTTACCTTCCAACCAAGCAGGGGGCGCTAGCAATGTGCTTTTTTAGCGCACACGCGACAACTTTTTTGTCATATGTCGATTGCCGCCAAACGCTGGCTACGTTTCATGAGTAGCATCCGACGTTGAGAGAGCTCCTTGTTAATTTGATGTCTGTATATATATATATATATATTTTTTTTTTTTTTTTCTGTTCTCCGTTTCTACTTTTCCTGCCCCTTTTTTGTTTCCCCCAATCGTTAAGGCAAGCCGCCTGAAGCGACCTCTGGAAGCCCTGAGAGTGGCAACCGTCGTTTCGCTAAAAGACTTTAGCTGCGTCTGCACTCTATCTGGAAAGTCCCCTTGCCCGCAAATCATATGGGAGGCCCATAAACGTCATTCTCATCTGTCACAACGCAAACCTTTTTTTCTTTTTTTCTTTTTTTTGGAGGAGGGGGGTTTAAAACTTATTTTCAGCTTCGTCATTGGGCGAGTATCGTAGATTGCAGCGATTGGCCCTCTCAAGTATTATGCCGGAAAACACGTACTCCAGCTTTCCTAGAGAGTGTGTTGGCAAACGGCGGTGTTTCTGCGAAAGCTTAAAAAAAAAAAAAAACCTAAAAATATGCTGTTCGAGATAAAAAGAAACTATTTGCGGGAACAAACTACCAGCCTTGGCGGACTTCAAAAAATGCAAAAAAAAAAAAAAAAACAATTTAGCAATTTAATTTACTAAAATTTACTAATTATATTTTAATTAGTGAAAATAAACATATGGTTCCACTAAGAAACTTGCTAAGCGTCATCGAAAACCACTAAATCAACTCTAGAAGGATATAAGGCAGGGGCAGCATTTTACGGCGTACTGAAAAAGCGGTCAGTTTGGATGTGTTTCTTTCTAGGTTTCGGTTTTTTATTGGAGCGCATCTTCGCGTCCGCGGTCCTGCTCCCCTGTGGTCGCGGCGCGAAACCACCACCTCCCCTCCCGTCCCCTCCCCACCTCATACACGTGTGCGCGTCTCGGCCACTGGAGAGCAGGACCGCGGGCGCTGGGATGCGCTCCCATAGGCAGTATTCCCTGGCGGCCATAGCTGTGTGCGCGAATGCTGAGCGCGTACTGGTGGCGAGCTTCCACAGTTCTCTTGCAACGTGCAGCCCACACCACCAAGGTTGCCGGTCTTAGGAGCTTATTAATGAGAGCTCGTTCTGAGCATGAGCTCTAAACAGCACCCTCAAATATGGCGTCCAGGGAATACCCCCTATAAAAAACATAAACCACTAAACGCGTCAAAATTGAGCGTTTTTACGGAACGACGTGAACTTTTTGCCACTGCCTTATACTATTTTAGAAATAGTTGATTTAGTGGTTTTCGATGGTGCTTAGCAATTAGTAACTTGTAGTTAATTATTTTGTTTTTTGCTAATTAGTAATTAGTATTTTTATGCAGTCCTTGACGTTTGCCAAACCTGGTAGGTTGTACCCGCAAAGAGTTTCTTTTTATCCCGAACAGCATAGTCTTTGGGATTTTTTTTAAAGCTTTCGCAAAAACACCCTCTATCTCTAATTTTTTTAATTGTTTTAAATAGATTTGACTACCTCCGTGCTTTGGCTGAACCTCCAATCCTCAATACAATGTAAATACATACCTAAAGGATGGCCGCCCGTCTACTTCAAAACAGATCGGGCGGAGAGCCAATCACAGCGATCTACGGAGGAGAAAATTTGGCAAATAATGAAGTGATTAGAGAGAATTTATTTTCAAGTGCAGAGGAGTGGCAGCACCGCTAAAGCAGAAGCCAAGACATCATTTGTATAACTTTTACTTGATTAAAAAGAACAAAACCAAAACAAAGACACGAGGCCCAGAAATTGCTTTGGCCAAAAGAAAAACGAGGTAACGTGGAAATTCGGGCGAGCGGGAAGGCGACGAGCGGTCATTCTGAAAGTGTTTGCCATCTTTGTCAATAGGGCTGTGGAGCACAATTGAGCATGCGCAGAAGCTTTCTTCTGGGAAACGACACACGCCGTTGCGCAAGCGTCCACAGCCCACCGTCTCGGCATTTTTTTCCTCGATGATAAACCCTGGAAAGGTGTATACCTACTCCCCTACTAAAGTCCCGTCCACGGTGGAAGAAGATAGAGGTGTCTGAATAAGGCCAGCCAAGGCGGCAAAAATGTTGCCCCGGCTTCGCGCACCTCCCGACAGGAGCACTGTCGGTTTGGGGCCTTCGTGCAGGATTGGTCGCGCAGCCCGTTGCACGAAGCGCCATCTCACGTTGTTTGTCAGAAATGCGAGCGAACTTTGGCCACACTTGCTCCGTGGCGAGGCGGCGTCGTTCAGACGCGTCTCTCTTCTTCCATCGTGGATTTCACGTGACGTCATTGCACCATGCTGGTGGTCATCGCTACTTGCATGCTGCGGACGGTACGCGTTCGGCAGCAAGGCCACGGCAATGGCCGCTGATGTGACGTGAGTGCAATCCACGTCTAGAGATAAATGAGTACGCCATGGGTCACATGACATGGCCAACCCGTGCTGCAGGGCGCCAGGTCCCTACTCCCCGGCGTCGACCCCGACGACCCCGAAGGCCCCCGGCACCGTGGGCGGCGGCCACCCCCTGGCAGGGGCCACGTTCCGGCCGGCGGGGCCCCCGTCGTACGCGTCGCCCCAGAGCCCCGGCGTGACCATCACCACGCAGAACGTGAGCGTGCCCCAGATGGGTGGTCCCCAGGACGGGGGCTACTCGTACGAACTGCGCCAGGGCTTCCTGGTACCCGAGCAAATGGTCGAAAACAAGATCGACTCCCTCAAGGAGCAGGCCAAGATCACCAGCCAGGTGAGAGCTCCGCGGCAAGAGAGGCGACACCACATAGACCAGAAGGCCATAGTGCTGAATTAGCCCCGTCTGCCAGAGGTGGCGAACGAGGTGACAGAGGAGTATTGCGTCACTGTTCGGCCGTGACTCGTCTCCAATCAGCGAGGACATGAGTGTCAGACGAACGCTGACGCAGAACTCGTATCTGATCCGTGCTCCTGGTTCGGCTTCTTAAGGTGGCATTGAAAAATCACCACTACGGCCTCCTTATATCTGGGAGGTGTTGAGATGGCGACAAAAACGTATTTGGGAGACGGAGCATAGTGTGTCTCCGCGCCACTCCACTCGGGGGTTAGGAGAATTAGTCATTAGTTGCTTACACAGCGGGAGGTTCGCCTGCCAGAACATGGCGACATCGCTACCCACTAAAGCCGAGAAATTTAGCTAGTGCAGTACGTCTGCTGGACTGGGGTCTTTAACGTGCACCACAGAGTAGTGATACACGATCGCACACCAGTACGACGCTCATCTACTAGATTGAAATGGGCAGGGGTGGGGATTGAACCCAAGATGCCTGAGTTCTGCAGCGCGATCTAAGAGAAGGAAAACAAGTGAGACGTCGGCTTGTCCTTTTTTCGGTCTCTTGAACTGTTTGTTGTTTCCCTCTTCTTACCACAGTCTCGGGTATAACTCATTACAATTAACACCTGCAAGATCGCTTTCCTGTTGAGCACAGAGAGAGCCAATCGCGGAGAACAGTTCGCGACTCAAACGGCATGCATGTTTTCCCCATTCCGCTCCTATGTTCCTCTGTTTCACTTTTTTACCGCCAGGCTGATACAGTTTCCCTTGCGCACTAGGACAGATGGTAGCTCCCCATTTCCCTTCTTCGCGTCTTTTCCGCTGAATGGCGCTGCCTCTTTTGTAGTTTTACGAATAGAATCTCCCAGCGAATGACAAAGCGCAAAATGTACAACAAAAAAAAAAAAAAAAAGAAAACGACATGCGCAACTACAATGAGCATGACCCTGCGCATATCCTATTTTTTATATGTATATTCGTATTCTGAGCTTCATCGGTCGCTGTGTTCCTTGTGTTGTGCGCCGGGATTGACTGGCTGCCTTCGTGTTCTGCAGGAAAGCGAACACAGACACTATTTTTTTAAAGTGTGCGTATCTTTTGTAGTGGAGTCATTTGCTTTCAACCCTTCAGTTCGGAAGGATACAGTTTTTGCAAAACACAAAGAGGGAGCCATGTTACACTCCCAGCGCGTCTCCTTCCCAACAAAGAACCTTAAAGAGCCACTGACTGCGAGTTCGATACGAATGGGGCTCAGCAAACGGCAAGAGGCAGTTCCAACATCAGGTAACCGTGCGCAGGATCCAGTTTTTACGAGAGGTAAAGTACAGGGTCTACTAACGCCTGTGAGAGTCTACTCGACTTGGTTTTCGTTTCCTCTAAGATCGCTCGGCAGGACACCTGCTGCGAAATACTTGAAGGCATTTCTGATCACTCTCTTGTTTCTTGCACTCTTACCGTGGCCTGTAAGCCGTCTGCTACCATTAACGTTAAGCAATTTCGTGATTTCAATCGTGCGAATGATGCTCACATTCTGGATACTTTAGAGGAAAGATTTTCTCAGTTCTATGATGTGTTTAAAACTGCAAACTGTTCAACGAATGATTTGTGGTCGTGGTTTAGATATACGGTAGAATATTGCATCCAGAGAAATGTTCCGTTGCGTATCAAGAGGGTGAAAAGGCACAACCCATGGATCACACATTATATTCTCTATTTGAAACGCAGACTACGTCGAGCTCACAAAATTGGCAATCCACATAAAACTTATTCCATACCCTCTTTGCACAGGCAGTAAGAGGCGACAATCAAAACCGATAAATAAAATTTCGTTAATGTCACGTTACATAGTTATTTCTGTAGTAACCCCGGCAATTTTGAAGAATTGTCAAAAGTAAACATGTCTATTTTTAAGGGCATGAATCTGTTCAGGTGGCACTTCTAATGGGAACCAATTGACTTCTAACGCCTTTAATGACTATTTTCTTTCTGTATTTACTGTCGATCAAGGGATAGTTCCTGAATATAATGTTCCTCGTAGAACTATACCTGAATTTACTATTTCCGAGGAAGGCGTTTTGTCGGCCATCCTTGATAATACACCAAACATTTTTCTCTTTAGGTACGCCGAATGGTCAGCTAAGTTCCTGCGCTTGATTTACTGCCATAGCCTCAGCACAGGCACCGTACTCGACGAGTGGAAAATTCCCACAGTATTACCTATATTTAAATCAGGTGACAGTCACTGTATCGCCAATTACATACCTATTTATCTTTTGTCTACGACGTAAAGTACTTGAACATGTAATTTTTACGCATCTGATTGTATTCTTCAAGAATTGATCATTTTTTTCAGGATGAACAGCATGGGTTCAGACGCGGGATGGACACAGCAACTCAATTAGTTCCCACGATACACGAATTTTCGGCCACCATTGATGCAGGCGGTCAAACTGACGTAATATTTCTAGATTTCGCGAAAGCTTTTGATCGCGTTTCCCATCAAAAACTGTTATGTAAGTTGCGTTGTATTATCACTAACAAGCACATATTACATTAGCTCGATCCTTATCTAACAAATAGACCACAGTGTGTAAGTGTTGGTGGTGTTTTCTCGCCTGAATCGTGTCTTATCGGGTGTGCCCCAAGGATCGGTTCTTGGGCCACTCTTCTTTTTAATATTTATCAGACTTGAAAATAGATAATCCGACCACTCGGTGTCGCTTTTTCGCCCACGATTGTGTTTTATTTTCTAGTGTAAAGAGTCTGTCAGACCAAGAATCACTTAATCGCTGTCTCTCTTTGATTCCTTCGTAGTGTAGAATGTGGAAAATGGTTTTCAACTCCAATAAGTGTGTTCAAATGACTGTAATGCGTAAACATATACCTTTGCCTTTCTCGTATTCTATAAACGCCAAACCACTGGTGTCTGTTGATCAATTACGATATCTCGGTGTCTTAACCACTTTAGATCGAAATTGGAACGCCCATATAAACAAAATATCTAAAAAGAGCTATGCAGAAACTGTGGTTTTGAAACGCAATCTTTGCCACTGCACTTTTGAAACTAAGTCGCGCCTCTAAAACTATTACGAGACCCATGTTAGAGTACGAGACTGTTGTCTGGAAACCCCCCCCCCCCCCCCCTACTAAGTCTTTAATCAATATGCTTGAGGCAGTTCAAAAGAAAGCAGTGCGATTTGTGTATAATCAATATAGTTTCATATCTTCAATTTCCGACTTATATGTTTTGCCTGGATTGTGCGATTTAGCAACACAAAAAAAACTAAACCGCGTTAAAAAAAAAAAAAATTTCAATGTGTTCCAAGGCAATTTGCGTTTGTGTTTTTGCCATTACATGGCATTTAATGAAACCAGGCCCACACGAAACAAACACCATATCTCACTGAACCGTTCTGTAGAGCCACTTCGTGTAAAGCCTCCTTTCCAGATACTGTGTGAATGAATGGAACAAGCGTATCAAAGGTGTTGTTAATTCGGTGTCACTTGCTACTTTTAATGATGCTCTATATTAGCACTTTGCCGCGTAGCTAATTTACTGTCCTGTTATTTATCCATGGTTACCTTGGTATACGGTGCACGGTTACACTTGTACGACCCCCTGCTTTGGAGTTCAAAGTGAATACTGGCAGTATATACAAAATACAAAATAAAATCTGCGCGTGCGCAGTGACAATAAGCAGCACCGCCTCTGCATCATGACGTCCTTTTTTCCCTGAAATCAACACGCGTCTTCAGTCGTGGCGTGCTACACGAAACAGTGTAATTTGGTACTCCTCAAAGTGTAGGATATCACTCCAAGAAGAGAATAGATATAGGTTTATAAAGAAAGGACGGAGAGGTTAACCTGAATGTAGGTTCAGGCTGGCAACCCTGCACCGGGGATGACTGTAGGGAGTATGAATGAGGGAGCATTTAGAACCATTGTTATAACACCGACTAAGCAAGAATCGCTCCACTAGTTGAGTTTCTTTAAACAAGTCTGCGCGTGTACGTTTCGCGTTTTACCAACTAAATATAGACGTTTGCAAGCAGCCGTGCTTCGAGGGCTAGTCTGGCCACCGTGGATGAAAAACCTTTTGTTCGGGCGCCAGTCTGGAAACTGTGGGTACATCTCAGCAATGCTTGACTATCGCACGATCTACCCACGCTAACAACAAGATGGCGGCGCCCAGAGGCCCTACTGGCAAACATCTATACTTAGATGCCCAATACTGTAGGATTGAAGACAAGCTCGAAAGGCGTCTAGCATGCAACCATTGGTATATTATGGATGACCATCCGTATACACGCACTCTAAACCAAAGCCGTCCACGGAACTCGAACGAGGCTAGACAAACACGTCGGCACGAGGTGAGATAAAAAAAAAAGAAAATAGAGTTTTAGGGGAGCGTCTTAACTCGAAAGACGTATGACGACTCAACGCCAGAACTAACAGATATTTTTTTTTTTTCTTTTCTTTCTGGGAGCCAGCCGACAACACGTATACATGAATTTATCGCCTCTTTGTCTTCTGCTCTCTCGCGGTTGCGCTTCAGAAGACTGAAAGATCAAAGACGCGAGAAGAAAGAAAGAAATAATAATAATAAAAAGAAGCTCAGAATACTAAAGATAGAGAGGGTACCTTCAAGGGCTGGAGGGCCGCCAGGAAACGCTGACCCGGCCCCAGAGAGAGACAGAGAGGAAACTAAGCCGGTGGTGTGCGTTCTTGAGACTCGTATCACTGCGCCTTGAAGGAATAAAAAAAAAAAAAAAGGTGGACTTGTTCGGGGATTACACCTTTTGCAAAAATCCCAAAATGCCGCGCGCGGAGTGCGCAACGAATCATGGGAACGTCAATGTGTCGCGTGTGACTGCGGGCCCAAATTGCCGACGGCGCATTGTGTGCACCTGGGAATAAAGGGCGATTCACACACTTGCGTGAGTCCGATCGGTTGCTATGGCAACAGCAGCGTCGGCTCCAACAAAACCGGTGTTTGCCCCGTTTTGTTGGAGCAGACGCAGCCTTTTGCCATAGCAACCCTCGCCCTCGGTCGAACTCAACGCAAGTGTGTGAGACGCACTTAAGCCGAGCGATGACGCAGAGGTAGTGTCCACTCCGTGAGCGGCATTCGGCTGCCGTGTTTTCGGACGGGATGTTCCACAATATATATGTGACTGTGAACGCATGAAATTAATGCCCGAGGCTTTTCGAAGAAACGAAAATATATCACCCTTATTTTTGAGACTTGGAAATTAAGCTGCTAGCTCATTATCGGTGCTTGTGTCACACTACACAATATAGCAACTGCGAAGAGAAAAAAAAAATTTTTATGGTGTTAATTCAAATAATGCAAAGGTGCAAGCGAGCTGGACAAAAATGACAATAATAATCCCTGGAGATGGGAATCAAGGGGGACAAAGGACATACACAAATCTCCAAACACAGCTAGGTGACATGGGGTGCGACCGAAAAAAATCCGCCTGGTCCTTGTATCGAACCACGGAACACTCCATTTCCAGTGGAGCACTCTACCAACTGAGTTAAGCCAGAATTTTTTTTTTCCATTCTTACTCAGCTAACCAGAACTTAGACGTCTGTGGAACAAATGGATTTTATCAGCTGCCATCAATTAATGCAGAGGTCATTCTTGTCCAGCTCGCTTGCACCTTTGCATTAATTGCATTATTATCGTAACCTCAAAATACAGGCCGTTCACCCTTGTCGGTGTTAGGCTGGTGGCAGCTGATAAAATCCGTTTGTTCTACTGACGTCTTACTTCTGGTTAGCTCAGTTGGTAGAACACTCCATTCAAATGGAGAGGTCGCTGGTTCGATACCAGGAACAGGAGGATTTGTTTTCCGCCGCGCGCCAGTCACCTAGCTGTGTTTGGAGTTTTGTGTTTGTCCTTCGTCCTCCTCGTTCGCCTTCTTCAGCTTTTATGGGTCTTTTCTTGGTCTGTATGTACCTCTAAACTTTGTGTAAATTGAATCATCGCGCTCATGGAGTAGGAACATTTCTAAACGCAAACCAGTCCTAATCTTCAGCAAATAACCTTAAACGTATAAAGTGTTTGTATTTTTTTTATTTTGGTTTCTTTCAGTGTACCATATATCTGTGACAGCGTGATATAGTTAATTTATTCGGTGTTGCCATTTAATTCGTGTCCTAAGACCAGTACCACACACCCCAACCCTCCTGGGTAGTAAAACTAACCTGGCTCCTTGCGTGTTTGCCCCGTTTTGGAAAACGTGAGGAGCCAGCATCCCTGGCACCATCCATTGAATCCATTTAAAATCGCTCCGCACGTTTTATACTTTCTAACTATCACCGTACAGCCAGCGTCACCTCCATGAAAGCGTCTCTATATTTGCCCAACCTCTCCTTTCGTAGAAAAATAGCTCGCCTCTGCTTATTTCGCAAGATTTATCACTCTAACCATCACTTCGAACCTCACTATTTTCAGAACTATCATACATATCGCCACGTACCGATCATCCACTAAAAGTGGGAATCCTCTACTGCATCACTTCCACTTTTTATGCCTCCTTCCTACCCTTGACCTCCGTCGACTGGAATCGCCTTCCCGCGTCCGTAGTCGCTCTTACTGGCGCTGCTGATTTAAAAACCGGCATCACTGATGTCCTGAATAATGTTTCATAGCGATTCTGTGCCATGTGTTTTTGTTTTTTTCGTTTTGTTTTCATTGTTCAATTTATATTGATGTATAATTCCCCTCCTCTCAGTAATACCTTCGGGCCTTGAGAAAATAATAAATGAAAATGAAAAAAACAAAGTTAGAATGCTTTATTCTTACTTTTATTTTTCAACCAACCGATAGGGCAGGCCGATCCCCATACATTTAATGTTATCTTCTTTCGATTGTTTTTCGTTCTCTGGAGTCCTTCACGCATCCTTCTAGTGATGTGGGTGATACGAGTACACGCGCACTCGATGACATCAAGTGCGCGTGCAATTGTACTGGATCTTTATACAACCGCGTTCGCAACCGCTTCGCGAACGCGGATCCGCTTCCAGTGTAAATGAGCGGCTAGTCACCAGCCACAACAACGAGAATTTTGTCAACATTGCGTAAGAGCCACTATACTTTTGTTTAAAAAGCTCCAGGAGACAGTTTCTTTTTCAAACTATGCTAAGCGATGGAAGACATCTCACGAGCACGTGTAAACGGAAAGCGTAAATACAAAATCAAACGCGAGCCTAATAGTGTTTTACTGAAATAATGTTATAACATACTTGTTTTTCAGTAGAAATTTGAACGGTTTGTTTTAAAGGTTGAAACTTTGCGCACTACAGATCCCAGAGACCCACGCGCGACTCTGATAAACCCGGTGATCTTCCAAAGCCTTACATACTCTCGAGCTCCTCTCCCTCGGTGCGCACAGGTGGTCGAGCTCCTCCTCGCCTACCCCTCTGGTCATATGACCTTCCCATTAACCAATCAGCGTCTAGCACCTCACTCCTCTTCTCCCACCCGTCGATCAATCAGCGTCGAGCCTCGCGGTCACGCTTTTATCCAGGTTTCACGAAATGCCGAACAGCTAGGCAAAGAACGTTTCATCTTAACATAAAAAAGTACGCTACGCTTCGCACGATTGTCACAAGACTCACAACTGGCACTGAGCGCAATCTCCATGCCGCGACTGTCGCTTTCCCGCAGTGCATCGGTATCCGACGAGACGCGCACTTAACGGAGCAAACAGTCCTGCCCACTCCAAACATATCTCGGACAGTAAGAAATATTTAAAAGAATTCCCACAGTCTGTTGCAACATAAGATCTGGAGTAGGAGCTCCGCTTTCAGCATACCTTCGTTGCCTTCCGTGGTGCTTTGGCTGCTCGTGGGTTGAGTGTTATCGATTCACATGGTCGCATGTATCGAGTAATGTTTGTTAAAACAACTGTCGTGTTGTTGTTTCTATGTTGCTTTTTTCTCACTGTTAATGTTTTCGTATGCATGCAAAAACTATCCCCCTTGGCCATCTGTGCGGTTCAAGGTATTTTTGAAGAAAGAAGGTGAAAAGCTTGCGCTGGAGGCGGAGTTTGTGCCGCAGATCTTATGTTGCAACCGCAACAGATTATCCTCAGTGTTCGACACGAAAGTCAAATCGAATCAAACTTTATTCGAATTGATAATCGAACGTTTATCAAATTCCCACATGCTTTAATCAAATTCCCACATGCTTACCGTAACGGCCTAGCAGGGATGCGGGGCTGAGTTATTAGTTTCGTTGTTCAAAAGGAGAACTGGATGTTTGGTACAATGTTGGCGTCATGAGAGCGATATGTGCTCTCTCTTCCGAGCGCACAGCGCGGTAGACTGTGTCTTCTCTTTGTATCTTTTCTCCCTTCTTCGCTATACTCAAGTTTGGGACATGAGGGCACTTAGGTAATTAATTTTCGTGCAGGAAAATCCGAAGTTCCGCGTCGACCTTAAAAATAACTTTCCAGTCATTCCTTTTTTAAAAGTATGACGCACATGGGCCGCATTATTCGACTGCCACGCGCACCGTGATGCAAAACCAGAACTATACTCTTCGTCTTACCCTCGCTTGGATCATAAGAAAGGTTACATTCTTGAGAACAGGACCTTGGAAGTCGCTGGTTTCGTGACTTTTCTTCCGCAGTGGAGGCAGCTTCCAAGGCTTCTCCTAGCCTCCCCTTTGTATCCCTTTTTAGTAGTGTAATCACCTGGTTTTCTAATGGTGTGTGAACATAAAAAGCTCACCACAGGACCACTAAGAAGTACCAGTTCGGATATATATTATGAGTAGGGTTCCGTGTTTTCAGATAAATCCAAAAACTCCGAAAACACCTGCCGATAAATTTTTTTTCCAATTGAGATTTATACGATAAACTCCAAACTTTAATATAATCACGTAAAAAAAAAAGAACTAGAAAACAGTGTTTTACCATTAATTTTGGACAGCGCACAGGGTCAATGGTCTTGAGAAAATGTCACCCCCGTTTTCTTTCAAATCTCGGACCATTGGCAGAAGGAATCCTACCGCTTATCTCGTCAAGGTTCATCGGAACAACCGGCATTTCGGGTCTCGACCAAAAAAAAGCCGCTCTCCCGGTTTCCAAATTGGGCCATACTATTTGTTCCTCATAAAGGTAGGAAGGGTTGTGTTTTTGTAACAGTGAAAGCGATGAACCATACAGATTTCATCGAAGGGGGGGAAGAAGCGGCGGGCAGTTGAAGCCTTTATATTACACACCCTTTACCACGCCGCGCAGCCGCTGCGTAGGTTGATGGATATAGGATGGGATGAATGCGAGCTTCCCAGCGACTGCCTTCAGGATCGAAGCAATAGTTGTTTGCAACTTTTGTAGTGGGACAAATTAGCATCGCCAACGGCAATGGCGCCAACGCCAAATCCAGCTGAAGAAATATTAATCGTTACAAACGCGTTCTTTTGCATCTGCACAGGTTTCGCCCAGATATTTTTCTGTTAAGAATACTGCAGAATTAAGCTCCGAATTTCTGAGAATTGGGAATCGAAGAAAAATAAACTCCGACTTTTCGGCAAAAAAAAAAAAAAAAACTCCGAAAAACGACCACGAGTTTGGCGAACAATAAACTCTGAAAACACGGAATCCTACTTATGGTAGAATGACACACAAAAAAGGTAGTCAACATAAGATTTCATTGCCGTACCTCTACTATAGTCCATTTCAAACTAAGTCGGAGCATAGCCAACGCTACGAGGCAATGGGGTCAATGAACTAGCGTCAAAGGAACAGCGTCACGCCAAGACCTCGCGCTTTTAGTCTGCATGTTTGTGTTTCTTCTAGCCTTTGACCGCGCTCTGACCACTTGTGGAGCAAAGTATAACGTCGATCTTTTTTTTCTTTGTGCTGCAGACTTACCGGACCACGCCTCTGATCACCCCGACGGCCAAGCCAAGGCGAGACGTGACGATCGGCTCGTACCTGCGTCACGTTAAAGAACCTTACTTCACGACGATGAAGATGCCAGCGGACGGAATGAACAATCCTGAGGCGATTGCTAGGGTGAATGGAACGCCATACTCACTCTCCCTCTCTCTCTCTATATATATATATTTATACATAGGCATGGTGGCGTGGGGTCCGATGGCGTAGGCACACTGGAATCGAGAACCTTCGGTGATATAACAACGGCCAAATTTATTTCGACGTTTCGGCCGGAATCCGGCCTTCGTCAGGAACAGACGAAGGCCTGACTCTGGCGAAACCTCGAAATAAATCCGTCCGTTGCTGTTGTTTCCCCGAATTTCGTCAGAGGTTTGACCCCTGGCGAAGCCGGGAATATATATATAAGGCGGGAATCAGAGGGCGAGGGGTATATATATATATATATTCCCTCGCCTATGATAATTTCATTTAATTGGCAACTGTTTCGTGGCCGAAGGACTTGTGTCCAATGTGGCAAGTCAAACGCATGAATAAAAATTGCTAATAGCGAGCTTTAGGAAGAAAAAAAGAAAAAAAAAATAAGAAAAGAGCTTCATATGCTGACAGCAGTACAAAAAGTTCTGTGTCAACTGTCAACGGATTTTTGTAATTGCATCTGAGGGGCCTTAAAACTACAGGAATAACTAATAATTCGTGACACGCGCTAGTTCGCCAATAATCGAACCACCTTTGATTTTGAGGGTATACTCAAAAGATGTTTACACTTCATCTTTTTATGTAACATATTATAACAAAAAGTTTGGAAAAAAAAAACAGTCTGCTTGCATGGGTTACCCTAGAGTCACTAAATGAGCTGCGCTTAGAGTATCGGCACTCCGTTCCCCGACATTGTTGTGGGCGCCGCCATTTTGGGGCTTGTGCAGAACAGACGCAACTGCCCATCGTCATGATTCAATAGTGCGACCTCCTCCGCATTAGATTCGGTGTTAGGAAGCTCATGTAATATTGCTTTGCTCTGTCGCGAACTGTTTAAACCTTTTTGGAAGACGGAGAAGGGTTTCTTGTGATTTCAGATAAAGCTTCTGATAACTGGCAGCCATGATTTTAAGCCACAATATGGCCAAGTGTCGTTACTCTGAAGCGTAGCTTATTTAGTGGCACTAGGTTACCCTTTTTCATATACAAATTCGACCAAAATAAATATATGTCTTCTCTGTTTCTTCGAATCGGCTGTCACGGCAGGGAGGCCGGGAAAGTGAACGCTGACCAACCGCAGCGCAGATATATTTCCCTTCAATGCTTTGCCCGCGCTCGAGGATCCTTGATCGCGTCCTATATATTAGCGGAGTGTACATGGAAACTGATTCTTGATTCACGTGGTGCGTACAATAATCGTAGCATCCCAAAGAGGTAAAATCAAAAACGCCATTACTGCGGATCCACTCATTGAAATTCCCGCGTCGCAGGGGTATTAGAGTACCGGCGCTTAGCTGCGCGAGACAGCTTATATTATATTCCATACATTATTTAGCATACAAAAGATACGAAAAAAAACTATTTATGCTGCTCATCTAATAAGCTATAGTATGTTGCAGGTTAAGAAGGTAGGGCGAGGGACACGAAGGTGGGAGTGGCAGAAATGGACGCAACGCTGGCGATGGGAGGAGGAAAGCCCCTCCCCTCCCCAGCGTTGCGTCCATTTCCTTTTCGCCCACCTTTCTTTCCCTCGCACTACCCCCTTGAGTTGCCACCCGCATTAACTTATATATCTTTTTGTCCGCGTAGAAAGTTCAGGAGACCGTGAACCAGGCCGCTTCGGGCTCCAGCTCGCCCAGCTTTGGAATGCCAGCGGGATCCGGGGGCAGTGACACCGGACCCAAGATCGTGCACCGTCAGTACAACTCGCCGTACCATCTCTACTCCAACCAGAACGTTGCTGACACGCTGAGCGCCCAAACGGGCATCAAACTCAGCCCCAACAACCTACAGCCGTGAGTGGGGATCCCGATTGTCCAGTGCCACTTTACACGTAGCTTAGTGCTTGGTCGTGGCGAGTAAAATAAAACATGAGCTTGTCGCTTGGACGTTAGTGTTTGCAGCTGGATTGTGTCTGCTATGCTAGTGCAGTTAAGTGTCGTCACTTGACTCAAAAATATTTTCAAGGTCATATAATGAAAACATTTACAAAGAAAGAGACAACTTATATTAATTCAGCATACCCCTTTAGGAGTATTCAATAAATAAATTATATTTGAAATAATGATGTCTTTTATATTGCAACGAAGTGTTCAACCATTGTCTTCTAGACCTGGGTGATCTCAAACTATGTCCTTAATAGCTTGTAGATTTGGATAATCTCAAACTATGTCCTTAATTGCTTCTAGATCTGGATGATCTCAAATTATGTCCGGATGATGTCAGACCATGTCCGTGATAGCTTCTAGATCTGGATGATCTCAAACTATGCCCTTGATAGCCTCTAGACCCGGATGATGAACCACCAGATAGACCTGAGTTTGTGAAATGTAAGACTGGCAAGCACTACCAGATGTCTCAGATCTATTATTTTTCCTAGGCAAAATAGCCTTGCCGAACTTCTCAAGGAAGCGATATTAAGTGCAAGCACAGTGATCAGGTCTGTACTCACTCCACGTGCAGTGTTGTTAACCGATATCATATGCTTGCATCTAATATTCCTACCTTCTGCAAGTTCCGACTTAACGTGAGAGACGTTCCTGCTCGCTCATCTCATTTTAAGTCGAACTAAAATCATACATTTAGTGGAAACATGCGCACAACTACATTTTTCATGTCATTACGAATGTAATAAATTGTTTGTCACCTTACCCTAGACCGCTGAGGATGCTGGTATCATAGAGATGTATTTTTGAAAATACTATTTCGTTGCATCATCCACATCGCGCGGAAAACTTGCCCTCAGCGACACTTCCATCTGCAAGGTAGACTAACACAGTAGAAGCATGGTTTTTGTAACTACAGCGTGTGTCAATTTGACAGTTGGCCCTTTGAAGGGACCACGTAGATCGGTTTCTTAATGTATCGAACTAAGGTTATGTACAAAAGTGGCCTAAGGTGGTGCCTATATCGTGTACCAAAATTCCAAAGAATTAAGAGTAAACAATTATGAACACAATTTCCTTACCTATGGTGGACGTCTGCAAATGAAAGACACCTGGGTGACGCAACGACGCAACAGATGACGGCAGCGGTCCTTTCAAATGGTCAACGATCCCTTTGACTTACCAGGTCATTATGAAGTCAACATCTTGGTCACACGGTGGCCATCTTAAAAAATACTTGTTAAGAAATGTAATGTTTAGTGGGTTAAAGCAAAGGGGCAGGGGAGAAAAGCTCACCGGAGAAAAGCTCACGCAAAACCGGCAGATGCGGAGAAAAGCTCACCGGCCTTTGAGCGGATGCGGAGAAAAGCTCACCGGCCTTTGAGCGGATGCGGAGAAAAGCTCACCGATTTTTTTTAACTTGGAGGATTCTGTGTCAAACGTGGCAATTTAACACAATTCGCATTCGTCACTTCATTAAAAATATGTCATCTTCTTTGTAATATTCTTGAAGTTCATTGGGCATATTTACTAATTCCTCAGAAATTTGTAATCACCTATTTTGCATATTAAAAAGCCGCAAGTATAAAATCAGAACATCATACACCGGTAAAAAAAAAAAAAAAAAAAAGAAAGACAACGCTTTATTGACAGCTGACAGTGCACCGCCAGTAGCTCTGTCAGATAAAGAGGTTTGTTCTTTGCGAGCTAACATGAATAGCGGTGTGTGAACCATTTCAGCTCTAAATATTGTGTAGTGCCTAATAGATAAGCAGGTGTTTCTTTATATGATCAGTGTCGGCTACGCTGTTTTCTTTCTGTTAATTTCACTAACAAAACTTTAGTTGCGAGAACAGCTTCGTCCTGTCGGGTTTGTTGTCTTCACTCCGTAGTCGTCGTTCGAGCGGTTTTCATCATGCATGACCTTTACCAACTCGCCCTATTCGCTACCTTACAGAGGACCACTTCTCATATAGGTCACCAGTAACAACCGTGCCAGTGTGCAGCTCTGAAGGTCATGGGTGGCTCGCCGTAGAAGGGCACTAGCACACAAAGGCAACGTGTGGAAACACCAGCGCGAACGGCTAGAAAACGTGCATGTCTGTGGAAAAAAGAAGCCTCGATGTCCAACTGACTATCTTTTCCGGTTTTCAAAGGTTAACAAAAGCTTCAAAGAGAATTTCAGGCACCGCGCTGTTGCGCATGCACTTTAGGATTTTCGGCATTTACAGTTTGGATTCTTAGGTTTCAGGCAGACATTATTAAGTTTTCGAACTTTTTCCTGTTCTTCAAGTTCATAAAGTTTTCAGTTAGGCTTTCGTTGCTTAGAGGGTAAGCCACAGAAAACACTCACCCGCAATTATTGTTTTGGGAGCAATATACAAAAATTGACATTTTCTTTTTTACAAAGCCGGCGATTTTTAATGATAATAAATTGGCATATGTTACGCGTGATCCAACAACCTCTATATAAAAAGGAGAAAAAAAAAATCGGTGAGCTTTTCTCCGCATATGCTTAATGGCCGGTGAGCTTTTCTCCGCATCCGCCGGTTTTGCGGTGAGCTTTTCTCCGGTGAGCCTTTCTCCGGCGAGCTTTTCTCCTTGATTCAATGCAAAGTGGCACTCATATTTGATTATTTGTGGGTATGTAAAAACCAACATGAACTCAAAGGTCGATGTAAAAATGTTAAATGTAGATTGAAATTGTTGAGTAGAAAATTTTCTTTCATTAAAATGTGTTGGCATTCCCACGGAATATTATTTTTGTAAGTCCAATTCAGGAAACGACGTAAAATTACGTTTGCATTTTTCTAAAGCATGTCTGAAGAAGGAGCTCTCTCTTTAAAGCAGACCTGAAAGGAAAAGGGGGACAAGTTGAAAATGCTCGAATACGAAAACAAATATTGATGTTTCACAAGGCAAAAATGTATGAATATCCTGGAGCAAACATAGAACGAAACCATTTAAACCGTGTCATAAAGACAAGATTACACCATGCAATTTTTATTTTGCGTTAATTAGTTACCAGTGGTTTCCATGAAACATGCGCTTTTACGAGTCTTGTACAGTGCTGATGCAAAGCTTAGTGGCATATACCAGACTTTCAATTAATGACTTTACTCTAGCAAGCCCACGTCGAAACGTTATTTCCGAGTCTCAACATATGGGGGTAGCGAAAGGGACCTATGATTCGTTCACTGGCAGCGCCAAGCATTGCTCAACTAACCCGACATGAAGTATTTTTATCGATCTCTCTTTCTTGGGCAACAAACGCTAGATCGGGAAGCCCCAGCCCCCAGCAGATGTCCCCCAGAGGGGACGCACTGGGTACCCTGAAGCCAGGCACCAAGATGGGCAACCCGGCAGACATCACCATGTCCCCCACCTACCGAATGATCCACGGCGAGGAGTGGCGAGACATCAAAAAGACCGAGCTCAAGGAGCACAGGCCCGTGCAGAATCAGCTCTACACAATTCAGTCGGACGGACACAGCATCAACGCCTTCGGAGCACCCAAGGGAAGGATCCAGCAGTCCAACAGCTTCAAGACGATCATGTCGACCGTCATGACGCCCAAACTTCTGTAGGCGAGCTACCAGGGCGTTTGCCAATGCCCGTGCGTTTTTCGATGCGCGTCGATGATTCTTTTTTTTTTTTTTTTTTTAATCTAAGTGCACCTGCGATTCAGAGTCAGAGTACAAGCGAAGAACCCACGTAACAAAATCGTTTCTGGAGAGGTGCGCTAAAAGAAAGCCATGACGCGGAGATGGAATTTGAGCAGCTATTGCCACCTTGCAGAAAAATGGCTCTTGGGGAAGTGTGATTTTCCCTCTCGCTTGCTATGAAAGCACTAACAAAAGCAAACTGAATTTTCTGTAAATGTACTTGCTCAACCCATCTCCACCATCGCGAATCCGATCCACTTGCGTAGAAACCGTAAAAGCGTAGAAGCGTTTGAAGGAAAATTTTACCATTGAATTGGAACCTGCATTGAAATAAATCTTCCATGTCGTATGTATTGCCGTCTGTCTAGGCAAACACTAAAGCTGTCTTTTCTATGTGCTTTTTTTTTCTTTGCATGTGTGAGCGTGACCTCTTTTCGACATACTGATGTCTGCCGTCAGTTCTATCAGTGAGTGTGCGATTGTGAATTTCTCTTATCGAATGCATCGTGGTTTTCCCCAAGCCTTACAAATCATCGAATTAGTTACAAGATTACGGATTTTTAACAGCTGCCTTTATATTCAGCACGAGCCGGCATTTGAAGGGAACCACTCTTAGTGTAACGCTACAAAACGCTAGAAACAGAAGCATGGCTTCCACTGTTGTTTTTGAGTCTGTACATTTTGCATTACGAAAAGTGTGATATCTTTTCTTTCACTCAAAAGCACCTGCTGCCTTATTTATTTCAAATAGCTCTGTCTAGTTTCCCAATAACGGAATGGAGTGTTCTACTGTATGCAGGTTATTTGTTGCTGTACAGTAATTTATTGGAATAAAAACCAGATGTCAAAGAGATGGCACAACCCGTTTTGCTACTATTTCAATAGATACTCACATCAAAGTGCCTTGCACATTTTATTTTGTTTGTTCAGGAAAGAAACTAAAGCTTAAAGGACCTACAAAAGGATGGTGCTCTTGGAAACTTCAAAGCATGATAATACTTCGATTTATTGAAATCTCGAAATATTATTGCGCAACTGCCAAGGCAGCCTGAACAGACAAAAAAGAAATGCAGAGTTATCTAAAAAAAAGGCACAATCACTACATGTAATAATTAAATCTCAACAAAGTTTTATTCTGAATTCCAGGTGTTTTTAGTGAATGCTCCATTAACATTTGTACAAACACCTACATAATTCAAATAAGATTCAGCTAGCACACAACACGACTTGCTGATGCATAATAAAAGCCATAAGTTCGGTCACAAAATAAGCTAGTCACACAAAATGCAGAGGAATGGTACAAGTGGAGAAATAGACACTTCCACTTTTAGTACTTTTACCCTCTACTCTACTGTACTGTAACCTCGACAGTGGATGATCCCCATAAATAATTTTAAAAAATGTTGACCTAAATGCCATAGAAGCTGTTGTGACTGGCAAAAATGCAACATTGTAACATAATCTCTTTCCAAAAACACTACAACCTAACCAATGAAGCCATCCAAAAATCTCATTCAATCAAATTGACATTCAGGGACCACAATCAAACACAAATAATAAAGTCCCTCCTCCACTAGAAAAATGCAGTAATAGTGGGCCACAGGGGCCTGAGAAACTGATATTGTCAAAAAGGTCAACCAAAGCCAAATTAAAGAAAAAAGAATAGATGAAGGCAAGACAAAATTACACTTGCACAGAATTCCAATAAAATAATCTTCTCTTTCATTCCAGTCCTATAGAGGAACAGTTCTTCGGGAACATCCCTGGCCATTGAAGTAGACGGGGCTTCATTTATACTCCTCGTTGATTGTCCTACCAATGATCAGCCTTCGAATTTCGCTTGTGCCAGCTCCAATCTCGTATAGCTTGGCGTCGCGCAGGAGGCGACCGGTGGGGTAGTCGTTGATGTACCCATTACCACCTGTGAGGTGCATAACGTTTGAAAGATCACTTAAGCACATCACTCTATATTATTGTCTGCATTCTCCCGAAATATTGGTTTCTTCAGAAGGAAAACATCATCAGACTTCAATAAAGCGCATGTCCTGCTGGACCCTTAGTGACTATGCAGTGTGCTCGTAACTCCAGCTATCGTTTATATTGGTTCGAAATAGCTCCCAAAGAGCCTGAACTATGCATTCTTTCACACTAAGTATGAGCACAATCGATAGAGCCAATCAAGCAGTGCGAAAAGTGCATTGTCATGGCGCTCAATTTTGTGAATTTGCTATCGAGGGCTAAACAAATCATGCACAAAAGAGAGTGCAGGATCACATCGCAATCACTGCGTGCGATTGGTCTATGCAGTCATAGCAGATACACAAAGCCGACGAGTGCCGTGACGACACATGATCGGCTCTGTCCTATTGTAGCATGCGCTGCACTCAGAGTTCGTGCAAAACTGACTATAGCGTGCAGCGCGTGATAGAGAGCTAGAACCACAGTGCAACCCACTTATAACGATACTACATATAGCGATGTAACACTTATAACTATCAGTTTCTAGAGTTTCTAGACTGAAAATGATCAATTTCTAGTCCAGATACAACGATAATCGATTATAAGGATTGAAATTTCGGGTTTTTTCATTATTGTTATTAGTGGGTTGAACTGTAGAACACGAGATGAATGTCCTTCACACTTCGATCAAACCAGAAGTTTTGATAGTAGCCTTCCAGGCACGCAGAAAAGACAGGAATAGCTAGCAATAAGGTGTTCGAGCTAACTTTGTTGCTTTGAGCACTTATTAATAATATACTTCTACAGCATGACATTTAGGGGAAAAAAAAAACAAATCTACATCATGCGGTGAAAGCCGGCAGGAATACACCATGCATAGCACAAACAAGATTGGTGCACACACACATTTTCTTCTGCAAGTTAAGTTCAAATATTAAATATGAATTAAATTAAATGAAAATTAAATATGAAAAAGTTATGCAGCTTATGATCAAATTTTAGCAGATTCCCAGACTTGATAACTAATCAAACAAAGAAAATGTGAAACAAATTTAGACCGAGTCACATTATATATAAAAATCATAGCAAAAAGAAAGTGCCCCTCCCCTACCTAGACACTGAATGGCATCCAGAGCTACTTGTGTCGCCTTCTCAGCACAGTAGAGGATGACTCCAGCGCAATCCTGTAAAAGCATAATCAATCATTTGCTATCAATGGTTCAATACAATCTTATTTCAAGTCCAAGAATACCCAACAGGCCCCTTGTCTTGGTACATGCATTAAAAAGAAACCACAAAGTTGTGCAGACTGTCAAGATAACAAATCATTCACTTCATTAAGGGGGAACATAAACCTGCATTTCACTTTCTTTTTATTAATTTTTTTAATTTTGAGTTTTTTGCTTTTAGAAACTAATTATACACCCTTACACCAATTTCGATAACCATATGCCAAATAGTTATGTTGATATAAAATATTTTCAACACAGTGCAAGGCATTAACAAAGGAAAGGAGTTCAATGTTCAAATGCATTTTCTGCAGTTCCACTTTGTGCTGCAAATTTCATACGAAGGAATCTTGTTCAAAGGTAAGAGTTTTCCGATACCAGAATTAAGATGTTTCTGAACTGAAATTTACTGAGGAATCGGGCTACCGTATATACTTTATTTTGTTTTAAGTAGAACTCCTCATTGAGAAAAATCTGTTTTCAATAATGGACATAGAACAGAGACACATCTCATATTTTGAGGTAATGGCTCTTCGTGGAATATTTACATTTGAGTTATAAAAACAAGATAGCATGAAGTCCCACATCCCCCACTTTATATTCGAGCAGTCAAAAAGGTGCTTAATAGGTTCATTTGCATATCATAGATTTCTTAACAAAAAATGACACATCTTACGCAGGTATGTAGAATAGTCCTAGAGAGCTGAAAGTTTGCACAATACACCAACACCTTATGTTAAATCTCTCCTGCTAATTTCGTTCCGACCACCTGAGTAGTTCAGAAGCTAAATCTCTAACCAGTGTCCCCCTTTAAGCCAGACTAAAATACTGAACATGTTCATAGTCTTATTAGACCCTCCCAGTTATTTATTCGCTTGCAGGGCCTCGAACGGCCTACGACAACATTTGGCTTGTCGAGTGCCAGATTTAGCAGGCAACAAGATGGCATGTTCACTACTAGCACACGATCGAACACCACCAAACAATGCAGTTACGCAAAAGCATGAGGTATCTGAACCAAATGCAAGTTGAAATCGAAAGTGTCCAATAGTCAATGCTGCAGGCGTTTTGCAGGCAGGTAATAGCATTTACGTTTACACACACGGCGACAGCAATTGGAAAGAACAAACGGCAATGATGAACAATGTTTTACCTCACAATCACGTACACGATAAAAGTGTAGAACAGCCTGCATGACCATAAAGGTAAAAAGACAAAAACACTAATAGAGCGACTTCAAGGGCAGCCAAACAGAAGAACTAGCAAAGCGTCACCTTGGACAGGACGTGGCCTTGATCGACTGCCCTCGCCGTGCTGTACAGGTAGGACCGGCAGGCGTTCAATGTGGTGTACATGTCAGCTATCTTCCCCTGGAGAAGCTGCATCCAGGAACAGAAACAGTGAAGTTGTTATCATCTGGCATCATCTCAAAAGAATGTAAAGCGAGCCAAGCACTGCTGCGGCGCCACTGCAAAACCTCGTTTCTATCTCAATGTGCGAAAAAACAGGTGGCTAATAATTCTTGTTGCATCATTTCGCACATACCACACGCTAAGCACAAGCACTCCCTGTCACCTAACTGATGCCGTGGCCACCTTATGTTCTTGCATCAGCTAAAGGTGGCCGAGTCGTCGGCAATGCAAGAGGGAAGGCACCCGACAAAATTAGAGGAGCTTATTAGCAGAGTAGCAAAATTTGTTGCACCTTTAGTTTGTGTCTTTTTCATTACTGAAAGAAATAGAACAAGGATAGACTGTATTTGCCCCATTTCAATTGCTGCACACTTTCTCGAGCTACAGGTTCGCTGTCCAATACCGTGTATGTACAGCACAAGTGGCCCCAGTAAATGACAACCTATCTTGTCATTTCTAAAGTGTCTGGGACTGACATGTAATCACACAAAGTAAAAACTATGAGTTTGTGTCAAAAGAGAAAGTTGAGCAGAGTAAAGATAAGAAGCCTTGATGCACTCACTTGAAATGAGCCGATTGGCTTGCCAAACTGTTTGCGAGTGTGAACGTATTCGAAAGCTATGTCGCAGCTGGCTTGCATAATACTAGAAGAAAAAAAAACACACATTGTCCTGTACACACTGTGGCATAATAAAGTGCAGCTCTATCGACTAGAAAGCATGGAAGTTCAATAAAGTATGACTCAGCTACTGGTGGCTTCCAATAAGGGCAAGGAAACTCTTAAAGCTAAATTTCTGCTTAATGAAACGGTTTTGCTGTAAACAGACCTCTGAACCAAACACAGTGCCACCCAGTTATACTGATAATGAGAAAACTCGAAACTTCAATCGTTATAACCGATTACTGTTGTATCTGGACTTGAATCTGATCCTTTCAAGTTTGGAAACTCTGGAAACTGGTTGCTATAAGCGGTACATTGTTATCAGTGGGTCGCACTGTAGTTCGTCATCCAAACCGTTCAAATACAGCCCAAAGCGGGTTCAGATAAATGGGACTTGACTGCAGTTGCCACATAAAGGCAGTATGAAACAAATTCAGAGTTAGTGACTATTTTCTTCAAAATTATTTAGTCAAATGCTGAATTCTGAAAAAGCAAGTTCATTTTTGGCATGCGGGCCAAGTATTTCAGCACATCTAGCTCTTTCGGACAGTAGTCTTAGGACCTGCGACATCTATACTCCGTGTCACTAGTAGCGTGCAGCACAGGCGAAGGCAACGCCAGGCGAGGGCAGAATGGGGCAAGCACTAGGAAGGCTGGGGTGGGGACGAGGAGAGAAAGCTCCTCTCCTCTCTAACGTTCCTAGTGTTCTCCCTTTCTCCCCTCGCCCTCCATCACCCTCCTCTCCCATCCCACCCTCCTAGTGCTCGCCGTTACCTTCGCCTGCACTGAAAACAGAACTAGTGAGATGGAGTATAACATACAGAATCTGCTTTTTGGGCACCTTAAAAATTTCATAATTTGTATTGTGTGCCTTGTTTTTAACTCACTCATAAGCCTAAGGCTTTCCATATTGAAAACACCATCACATAACTGGCACCACTCATCCTGCCTCTAGAAACATTCCCAAAGGTTTACCCACCACAAAATTCTAGGTATCCAACAAACCCCGAGTGATAATACTAAAGAGAATGTTAGCGCAACACGTGTGCACAAATTTTCTTATGAAACAGAAGCACACTTTTTACCTAAAAGTATTTTTTTTAGCTACTGTTTCTAGACTATTTCCCATGGACCCTTTTTCCTTGTCTCCCCCTCCAGTTACTCTCTTCCTACTTCCTTCCCCACAATTATTTCTGTCCCCGACCTCTGACAGATTCTTGTCTGAAGAAGCAAAGTGCTTTGGCACTACTGTTACGAGCAGTGATCACACTGAACATACACTTTTTCTGTTCAATTCAGCTGTGCCCCTTCAAAGAACGTCTTTTTTGTTCCACAAGTGCAAATTTCTAACAGCCATTCATTCGAAACCCTGAAGTAGTCGCCTGTAATGCAAGAAACCGACAAAGGCTCACCCAACAGGCCCAGCCGCAAGAACCAGTCGTTCATAGTCAAGTCCACTCATGAGAACATACATCCCTTTGTTGAGCTCGCCGACCAGGTTTTTCGCTGAAAGTTCATAAAAAATACAGTTCAGCTCAAGCAGTATGAATTGCAAAATGCAACTTCTGCTGCTGAATTTAACTGCACCACAATAAAACTTTGGGTGACTTGAATAAAGAGAGCCGCAATGTTGACGAATAATGTATTTCGCGGTAAAAAATCCTTCAGCTGTTAGGCGGTTGTGGATTGCAAGAAGAACCGATTGCGGCAGCTGTTTGTTGTTCAGGCACAGAGGCCATGGCTGAAGAAATCAAATTACACAGCATGGCCCTTTGACAAGAGGACAGCATGACTATAGTCCATTGCAACTCAAGAACGAAGGGCGAGTGCAAGACGGGCCGGAGGATGAAGCAGACGGAACGCTAAAGAGAGACGGAGGTTTCCTCCTCTCTTCTCCAACGTTCCATCTGTTTCCTCCTCCCTGGCCCGTCTTACCCTCGCCCTTGGTTCTTGAGTTGCAACAGAGACTAGTGCTAGAATCCTGCAAGCTGTTCCTCTATCAAAATCTAGTTGTCCTTGGTTTTGAGTCTCACTCTGTTCTTGAAACAATAAATGTTACTGTTTCTTGTTTTTGTTTCAATTATCAAAAGTATAAGCTTGCTGACTTTTCTCTCCCATATGATATGCCTTCTATTTGATGCAAGCTACACCAAGTGATATTATGCATGTGTACCATAATATCTCGAAAGATGCCACAGCCCCCAAAATAAACTTACTTATATTTTTTTACATTAGATATTTTTTTTTAAGACATTGAAAGATAGCCCAGTTTTAGTAATTTCAGTGCCCTGGCCAATGGTGACCTCGGCCGAAATGGGGTTAGTTAGCTACGGTGGGCGACAAGCAAACAATGCTGACTGGAAAGGACAGTGTCAATGCTCCAATGGCCCTCAACGTGAAAACAAGTTTGGCAGAACACAAAATACAAAAACAGCTTTTTTTTTTTTTTTTTTTTTGATCGCTCACCGAAAGTTAGTTATCTGCTCTTGCTTTTAGGTAGGCTGCCTCTCTGGATATTTTGGTAGTATGAAGCCATCCGAAAGCTGTGAATTTTTCATGTGGGCACCGGCAAAATACTACCGGTTTAAACTGTAATACTATCACCACTCTCACTAAGCAATCAAGCAGTGAGCCCAGTTCACATAGGCAGATAGGAACAAGCTATGTTTCAAAGATAAGACACTTTTTGCAAGAATAAGGTCCGAACCGGGAATCCTGCAGTCTTCAAAAACGAGTTCCGAGGTTGGCGAGCCCCTCATGCCCAGCTTGTCCAGCTGCTGCCCTATGCTGAATCCCGGGGTGTTCTAGGAAACAAAGAGATAAACACGGAGCCCTTTTTTTACATAGATGCGGGCATTGAATGCTAAATGACTTCCAACACAAAAACCGAATCAAACACCAATTGGTTTTCCTGCAGTGAGTGGAATATTGTAAAAATGTACCGAGTAAACATCGGCAGGGCGTGAATTGAACTGCAGTAGAGTGGAAAGTTGGGCTAGTTGGTAGTTATTCATTGTTAGTTGTTAGTTATTCATTCAGTGAATTGAACATGTAACTAGCCTATAGGGGGCTTATGTTCAAATATAACAAAGTGAATCCAGCATGCCCCCAGCGAGCAAAGGATAAAAGATTAATCTGGACTGCCTAGGGACTTTAAAATACAACCAAACCCAGAGTTTCAGTGTCTACATACTGGTGCAATAAATTGAAACGCTCGAATCTACAGACCAGAAGTTTGCCTCAGACACAATGAGGCGGCTTGGTGCACAAATAAGATGAAGACTATTTATAATCATCATCACCAGGCACATAGACAGGGGGGGGGGGGGGTGCCGATAAAGCCCGCCCCCCCCCCCTTCCCCCCCCCCCCCCCCCCCCTGAAACAAAATCCTGGCTACGTGCCTGGCAAGAACAGAGGACAAGAGAGAGCTGGATGAGACAAATACGACATATATCTGCAGGGGCAAAGCCTTGAAGTATTTTTCAGCATTTTTGCACTACCAATCTACTTGGAATAGAATAAATACCGAGAATTCGCTATGAAAGACCTAGAGGTTAAAAATTTCCCGTTAGCACAAAAAGATTTCAAACCCCTCGAAACAACATTTTCAGCAGCCCAGTTTGCCAGTACCTAAGTCAAGGATTTTAAACATTTTCACCACAGAAGCAATGCAACAAGTGGTAAAAGTAATACAATACACAGACATTTTTATATTAATTTTGTGAGAGCTCGGTGAATCAGAAAGGTATCCAGTGGAATTTAGTTTCCATGTCGTCTGACCCAGACAGGACAAGACAAAACAACGACCTCCAATAATGGCACAGAACGTGTGGCTTGCTACCTTTTCAATAATAAATGCGCTGATTCCATGTTGAGGCTTGGCAGCACTGGGGTTTGTCCGAGCGTACACGAAAAGGACATCGGCGAGCGGGCCATTGGTGATCCAGAACTTTGTTCCATTGAGGATGTAGTGGTCGCCTGAAACATCCGACACCGAGAACTTATCATCAAAGGGTCTCCAAGTAGCCTGACAATCTGAAGTTCTTACGAATCATTATGCAGACAGAAACTGGATACGAAAGGGGGTTGATTACCAAGTGGGTAGGGAGCCTCAATCACCATCGGTTTCCCCGAGGCTCAGGCCTACAAAAACAGCCGAAGAGGCATAGACAGGCCAGAAAAACATATAGAATGGCCAGATACACACATTCGAAATTGCAAAGGTTTGGAGAATGCAAAAAGTTTAGTGTTGTGTCGTACGCTGGAAAATGCACTTATTGTATTTTCCAGCGTAAAAGTCGCAGTTTTTTTCCCGAAATTGCCGTAGTTGTGTCTCATACGACGGTAGGATTTATATGCATTTTTTCCCAAAGAGTACCGCCCGTAACTACTAAGCGAAATTGCCGCGGAGTTATGTTTCTTGTTTGATTTGTTGGCGAGGAGACTGAAACTGTCCCATGCTTGCTCATATAGTGTGATCACAATACAGATATGCAGGCTTATCAACGCAGTTTTGTCACACCTACTGTACAAATACACATAATATTAGTATGACTTGTATACAAACTTTTTGGCAAAAACAGCTGTTTATAGGGGGCTGCGACGTAAAAACAATGTGACTTAAAGACCGGAAAATATTGCACATATACTTGGGACCCACTCAACAAGTTTAGTGTGACAAAGCTTGGTGCCAGGACCATAAAAGGTGGCTAATTGCCCTATTTGGTTCAGAGTTTAGAAAGTATAAAAGCACCCCAAAACAACAAGGACCATCAGTTTTGATTATAATGCAATTAAATGAAAAGGTGCAAACGAGCTGGACAAGGACCATCAGTTTGGACCTTTTATACCCTTTAAACAAAGGACCACGAATTTAAAAGTCTCTTGGCAAACTGTGTAGAAATTCTATAGGTACGGAAATTGAAACAATGTACTACCCCCAATTCCATAAACTGGAATGTCACAATTTCAATATTTCCACCCTATCACTGTTTAAACAGGACTCTCACAAGGTACGGCAAAGCCATCTGAAACAACAATGCCAAACTTTCGTGACAAAAGAGTTAGGATATCTCCCAAAACACTCTGAAGCCCAACCTCGGGTGTTTTGCTTCATCCCTAGTAGCTAGAGCTGCAAAACGGGTCAAAATATCTACCATCTTTCTGGGCCGAAAGCTTCATGGAAGCCACGTCTGAACCGGACCCAGCTTCACTCATTGCCAGAGCCCCAACGTGCTCCCCGCTGATCAGCTGAAAACACAAAAAGGACGAGGTTCATACAGACAAGACGCAACTTTTGAGGGAAAAAAAAGTATATAAATAGGAAAAAAACAACAACAACAAATAGATGTACTTAAACCAGTGTTGGGTGAGGTATATCAAAAAAGTACCAGAAGTAAAGTACAGAGTAAATGAGAGGAGATGTAGTTAGAGTAAAGTAGTAAGTACACTGGGTCAGTGGCGTCACTAGGGTCAGCGGCAACCGGGGCGGTGGCACGCAGCTGCACCCCCCCCCCCCCCCCTGGCCCCCCTTCCCCTCCCGCTTGTCGCCCGCCGCAACACCCCCTCCCTCCCTGCCCCCGCCTCTCGCGGCCCGCCACGACAACCCCCGAAGCGCTGCACCCAGGCTGTTCCCCCACTCCGCACCCCCCTTGTGTCGCCACAGCACTGGGCACAATGTACTCAAAGTAAAGTACTATAAATACAATGTAGTACTTTTAAAGTAAAGTACAAGCACATTTTAACACAATCTTTCATGATGACATTTTATTACCCTATAAAGTGATTTTTTAACTGGTGTGCATTGCCCCAGGGGTAATCAGGGGTGCATCGCTTGTTTTCGGAAATAGCAGCGAATTTTTGGATAAAGTCAAGTAGTTTTAGAGTTAACAAAGCATCATTTTGTGCTACAAATTTAAGAACACCAAATTTGGGGAATGTACTTTGAAGTCGGGAGTTCAGCTTTCCTCGGAAAGTATCAGAAAGAATACTTTAAGCACAATTACAATCATGGAAAGAGCCAACGAAGCCATAGGAGCATGCGGTCTCGAGCTACACGCATCCGTCATGCTGGAGGGGAGAAGAACCATGCAAGCCGGACGTCGCCCAGCAACGAGATTAACGGGTATCAACATCTGTCGGTCCGGCCTTGCTATGTTTGATAGCGCTGAACTATTTTAATTGTAAAATACCGTTTTTTTATTTTTTTATTGGTACCTTGAAATTTGGAGTTAATCCGATAAATCCGAATTGACTAAAATTGTATTGGCGGGTACTTTTTTGAGTTTTTCCGGATTTATTCAAAAACACGGAACCCTACGCCTCATCTCTGCAGCTATGTAAGAAGCGAGACTAGTGCAGCTTGATGACACAGTCCTTGGAACATTTCAAGAGCAACATCTTGTACATGCTATTATTTGTAGGACTGGGTAATTAATTGATTAACCTACCCATTGAACAATTAATGCTTTAGCCACGATAAATTTTTTAACCGGGTTGATCGGTAAAATTTTGACAAACCAAAAATATTAAACGCTTTCACTGCACAGACGTGGAGAAGTACACCTGTATGCAGGGCAAACTTTGGGTGAAATTTTAACCTAAAGTAAACTGTAGGGGCGAGATTTGTAACTCCAGACAAGGTGCAGAAATTGTTCTGGCCACCTCAACGCCTTGAAATACTATTGTGAACAGACAAAAAAAAAAGTTGCTCTTGACAGAAAACATAGACAAACCTCTATGCCTCGTGCAGCTGAATAATTTGTGAGTGTGTCTTTGAACTGTTCTCACCTACATATCGAGGTTGATTTATAATCAAAATTTTATATTGTGCCGTTTAACATATATTTATAACAAAAAAATTAATTGATTAATTAATTAATTAAAAGGCGGTGGCTAATCGTACAAAAATGTTTAATCGACACCAGCCCTAGTTATTAGGGGTGAAAAAGGGGCGAAAGAATCTGTGCTCAAATGCACCTTGGGGAGGTATTTCCTCTTCTGCTCTTCAGTTCCATTCCGGTATATCTGGTTGATGCAGAGGTTCGAATGTGCCCCGTAGCTGAGAGCTATGCCGCCTGCAGCTCTGCTGAGTTCCTCTTCAACGAGGCAGTGCTCCAAGTAACCGGCTCCGAGGCCGCCGTACTCCACTGAAAGAGAGAGATTGGGGTGCCTTGATTACTCTAGGAACGAGACTAGCTGAACAAATAGTCAGAGCGCAGGCGAGCTGGTGTAACTTGAACACGATGGTAAACCTGAGACTGGGGTAGGAAAAGAAAAACACATAGGAAGACAGTAAAAGAACGGGCAACGTCTCAACAAGACGTTGCCTGTTCTTTTTCTGTCTTCCTTTGCATTTTTGTTTTTCCTTCCCCAGTCTCAGGTTTACCTTCATGTTGAGGACTAGTTGCCCAGCAAAACAAGACCAACTCTAAACTTAAGCTGAAGGGACTGTAAAACAGAAGCTTGTTGTTGGCAACAGAGCAAACCTTCTCTCCCATTTACGATTTTCGCCTAAGGACGATGCTGGGTCCCCGAATGACGTCTTGTGGGGCCAATACAACTACATACAGGCTGCAGCAGTTCTTTCTTTTTCGTGTTTTGCTACTCCATGCCCCCTTTAGGCTTATCCACCGAAAAGCAAAACGAAGCAAATTATTTTTCACCATACTACTGTAGTTTCTGGTCTCTTAGTTACATCATTGACTAAGTTACATTGCCCCATAAGTGGCCGTATTCACATCAAAGCTGGTAGATAAGTCGCACGTTTGTATTAAGTTCCACTTAAATGTTTGCAAGGTCGGCGAGGCAAAACTGCCTTGGTAAACCCGCACGTGTGCAATGCGATTGCGACATATGGGCAAGCGAGTGCCAGTTTCAACATTTTTGTAATTAGTCGAACGAGAAAGATTACTCCTGCAGCAAATTTAGTAATAAAGGTTCATAATTATATTTTAATAAAAGACATATTGTTTTATAAAATGCACAGATGGAAATGTATTAAAAAAAAAAATGTGCTTATGCACCAGAAATCGTGGTCGAGAGGAAAGAAATTATTTTGATGTCCTTTCAAACTGAAACCGGGAGTGAAGACCACGAACTGCGTATGATGTAAGCTTATTATACTCTATTGCACCGTAAGCCCGGACGCAGCCGAAACTATGCGCTGATAAAACTGATCAGACAGCATCAAAAGTACACCATTTGGTGTTCGTCACGAGTTCTATCATCGCTAAATTAATCACAAAAAGAAAAGGACTAGCGACTCAGGGATTCAGACTGAAATTTATATTTCGGTTATGGTTACCGTTTCCTGTTGATATCGGTTTCGTTTTTCTTCTTTTACCGTTATAACTTTTACGGTTTCGGTTACCAATTACACATTCTTAAAATCCTTTTTTTATTTCTGTTTCTCCAATAATTTGTTTTATTGAAATGCTAGACATTCATTTCATAATAAATGGTTTAAAGTAGTCCCAGATATCCAACAACAGTACAATCACAATAACAGAAACTCAAAAACGTCTTAGTACTTCTAATTGGTCAAAAGTTGCACACGTTTCTACCTCCAAAACTTGTTCACTACATCTATTTGCATTATATAATTTGTAACCCAAGGATACATGTTACCCCTGCTACTCGGGGATGAACACATTCTATATAATAGAAATGAAAATAAACATTGCTATTTTGTTGTTCGGCAGCATTTGTAAACAACCCTCAGAAAGTTTCCACTGGGTGCTGGAAGAACCAATCGCAACTTCTCGTCACTACAGTTTGTTTCAACTGAAGATATGAAGAAGAGACTTTGCCCATGCTGAAGGAAGGAGCAGAAGTATAGCCCTCCTCTAGTAAAATGCTGCTATGTAGAATAAGGTAATAAAGCTGAAAATCAAAAATATTGTAAATGCAAGAATGCAAAATAAGGAAGACTAAGGAAAAAAATTAACAACACAGAAAGATGTAAAAATATGTACTGTGTTGTTTGTTCCTTTCCATAGTCTTCGTTGTTGTGCACTGTTACACCTACACATGTTTGCTATTGCTAAGCAAATGCATGTAGTTATAAAAGTGCACATTTCTCGCTGTCCGATTTTGTGATGCTAGAAAAATTTAGCATTTATATAGCAGCGATTGAAGGAGTGTGGCAGATTTAGAAATAGAGACTTATAAATAGAGACACTGATTCCAACTAAATATTCTTAATCCTAAATTCAGATTGAACGGAAATGTGTTACCAGATGCACAACTCGCTGACGGTAACTCTGTCAAATGGCCACGACATTTCAAGTTCATCCTCGAGAAAAACAAATATTTATATTATTGAATAATATTGGTTTGTATCATTTACCGATAAATAGTTTACGGTTCAGTTACGATTTTCATAAATTTCAAATAACGGTTATGTTCCAGTTACGGTTACTAAAAAAGTGTTGTTCCTAAACGGTTTTCGGTTTCGATTTGAGTCCCTTTTGTGATTTGCGCCTTTGATGCTGCTTTATTGGCCCCATTACCTCGTAGTGTCGGCTGTGTCTGGACCTCAGCCGAGACAAAGTATAAGTGCCGACGACCCCAAAGAAAGCATTCTGGAAGGCTCAATTACGGGGTTGCGAAAAGAAGATGTATTTCCCTGGCCTTCTCAACCACTATAGTCGGCGACAGATTAAGAATTCAGGGGAAACTCCCCTCCTACCTCCTCCCACCTTAGCAGAGCAAATGCTGGAGAGGAGGTGACCTCCTCTCCAGCATTTGCTCCGCTAAAGTGGAAAGACGTGGCCGACTAGGGGCATGCTATTTCCATATCATTTTATCAAAATATTGAAGTCAATATTTTACTATTCACATTTAAGGAATGCATTGCCGGGGTGATTGTGCACTATGAGCAAACATCAGGAAAACTAAAATATCACAAAAATTCGGCAAGTGCAAAGAGCACTCGCAACAATTAATCTTTTTTTAAATAGAGAAACATCAGTACTAATAAAAACAATATGTAAGTCCACACATTACTTTGTGCTCAGAAGACTAATGATCAGACAAAATTCATAACCACTTCATCTCCAACAAGTGTTGTTTTTGTTTCGATTTCAAATAAGGATGGTGAGCATATTAACCTGTCCCCCAAAAAAACTGAGCTGACAGACTTTAATTCACAATGAATATACGATAGGCATTCCGTCGAGTTTTAGTGTTCATGTTTTATAACTCTCTTCAGGTTCGCATTGCCGTAGTTTCTCTCGTAAGCTGCATCGCCAACTTCCTGCCAACATTTTTACAGCATAGTTCTTGTGAAGCTCTCCAAAAGCGTAGGCCGACTGGCAGTGATCAACCGTGCAAGCAAGCAAATTTTCCAGGTCTGGTTTATTGTGCACATATAGTTTATTCATTGTTTTCCCCCGAGAGTAATGACACAAAGTTAGAAACAGATGTGCCTGAACAATGTGCATGAAAGCAGAGCACTCGCTGCTCCTGCCGGCACTGTGTCGCTGATGAAACATAACCACCTTCATCGACCAAATGTGAAGTGTGATAGCAATGCATAGCTCTACAGGAGGAATTTGGTTCTAAAGTAATAATGTAATGATGATAATTTTGTTTTTTTGCAAATTCAACATTATTGTTTGCAATTCCGTAATAGAATCTTGCCAAATAAGGTTGTTACGGAAACTCACACCACCAAATTTCATGAAATGCTTACCGTTTTATAATTCATATAATTAAACTTAAAACTGTAATAAGAACTGTAGATTTTTGTGATCTAAGTTGTATGCATGTACATGCTTTGTTTTTTACCGTTTTTATTATGCAATCTACAGAATTTCTAAATTGTATTTAGACTCTCCCCAGTGTAATAGCCACAAACGGGACCTCAAGGTATATAAATATATAAGACTTAAGTGATGACTCGCTTTTCTGTTGATCCGAGACCTTTTAAAGCTTGAATTAAGAACAACTGTTCACGTCTTAAATTAATGGGCAATTCAGACTCGTTCTCATTCAAACAAGCATGGCATGTTGTTGCCAACTACATGGTATTAATCTTTCACACACACTGCACAATAATTCAGTAGAGCTAAGAAAACAGATAAAAGTGATAAATGCCAAAACTTCCACAAAAAAAAAAAACAAAAAAAAACAGTTAAAGGCAGATGTACACTCCACTTTTTACTTTTCCTGAACTTGGCTCCTCTCACAGCTTAGAAGAGGGGACCGCTAAGAGAATTATCTTCTCTGCAGAAAACAGAGGTTATAGGTCTGCCTTTAACACAAATCTAACCTTATGCCTGATGTACCAGTTCAAAACTAGTGCCGGGACATTTTTTCCTATTTGTCACTGGAAAAAAAGTCTAGAGGAGGATACAAATGTTTAGAAAAACCTACCGTAAAATAACGGGGAAGTGCCCACCCAACTTCTGCTGAAAACCGGGTGAATCTAGACATGGGCAGTTGTCTGGTCAAATTGGTAAATATCAAAATGGCTGTCAACATTAGAGCTTTGAAGGCAGGGTGAACAGAACCGGAGAAAGCACATTTATTTTCGCACGACTAATGACGGGAAAACACAAGAACCTATTCAACGCCACTGAACCCAGAAAAATTTCTTCTGAGTCAGTGCAGAATAGGAGGTCAATCACAAGTAGTTTTTCTCTTTCCAACGCAAAAAAGCGGACACCCTCGTCATTGCCGTTGGCAATTGCATGGCCGCTGTAACGGGGTGAATATTTTCGGCTGATGCGATTGCTTTGTAAGAGGGGTGGGCGCTTCAAGGGCAACTCCGCTCAATTCCGAAGATTTCAGGATAATGAGTGATTTCGCATGAAAAAGCACTTGTAAACGACACTACTGTAAAATCCCGAGAGATAGCCCAACTAGCATCAAGAGCAAATCGGGTAAAAATATGGAGTGGGTGAACTTTTGGTGTAAAACCAAGAAAAGTAAAAAAAATTTGCTATTTTTAGGTCATGTCCTTTCTAAGCTTCTTATGGTGGCGAGGAGCAACGAAGCAAAGACGACTGACTGTACATCCCAATCAGCAAAGCTCGCTTATATCAAACCATATAGCTAACCAGCCGCATTTACGCCGAGGCCAACATTGACCCCAACACTATGATTACTAGGAGTGGGCTATCTTTCGGTGTTTAGATAGAAAAATATGGCAAATCAAGCCAAAAAAAGGGGGTGGGCTATCTTTTGGGGGTGGGGCATCTCTTGGGATTTTACGGTACATCATTTGCTTCACAAAAAATGGGACATACATATGCTGTTAAATCTAATTTTAATCACGAGCAGAAATCAAAACCAAAACTTTGACTTTGTCCGGCAACATTGGCCTCGGGCTGCTAAGAACATGGCTATCACGTGGCACGAGACGTCGCGTAATCCTATATGCAACGATGGGCGGGATTTGGGTGAACGTGTGCCAGGCACAAGTGTCACCACGTTTTCATTATGTTTTGGTATCTATGACATTCAATGGCGTCTGCACAACTGCAGCATAAGCTTGCGCACATAGTGTCCGCAGTGTTAAGGAAACTCCGAGAGACAATAATTACAAGCAGTGAGAAGACAACGGCGGTTGTAACGCGGGAGATGGCGGTAACGACGGGACCACGACGGAACGGCCAGACAGCTCCCAAGAAGCGCACTGCACAGGCGCGTTATGCCAATCACATGGACATTGCTGAGCACCGAAAGGAAACAATGCTGGTGTCACCCATTAAGCTTGCCAAGAGAAGTAAAAACAAGCAAAAAGGGGCAATGGTGATAACATTTAGCCCAATATTGGCTATGCCCACGCCGTAGCGTTGACTGCGCTGTTGGTTGCCTCAATACGCCCGCTCGAGTCAGCCGATTTCGGCAACCTGGCGAATTGCAAAGTTTGCCAGACAGTGTAAGAAACATTTAGACAGAACTAGGTCGTGATATTTGACGCGTAGTCTTCCTAAGTGATCCTGAAGAAGACTGGATTGTGTTTTTCAAAAACAAAAAATGAAGCAAAGTTGCTATTTAAAATACAATTTGCAGAATTCTCCAAGCTTAGAAAACGTTAATGGCGGGCGCTCGTACGATGTGGGCGCATCTGCAGTGTTTTACGGTAAGTAAGATCTCAAGATTTGGAATTTATGTTTCACAAACTCAGTTGCATGACCCCTTTAAAACTTAGCATAATGCAAGGTTTATAAAGTTATCCCAAGAAAGAACATATCTCAACCAGGGCTAAGCTTGGAAATGACAGCACAGTAACACGAACCTTGTGATACCAACTTGATGTACAGCTTTGCAATTTATTTAACAATATCACGAGTGTGCAGTGTCGCACAGCGCTTATCAGTTCAAGTAACAGCTTTGCACACGCTCGCTCACTTTCGCTGATATCACCGCAGCACTCCATCATATGTCACTGCCCTGCCCTCGAGTAGACTCTCCCGTGATATTTTTAGAACATTGCACAGCTGTACTTACTTGCAACATTTAAAAGCACATTCTGCTTGTAGCTTGATAATTGGGAAGATTTTAAAGTAGGGACGGAGTATGGAACACCAGATGGGAATGATACGTTCAGAGACACAGTAAAATGCGCACACCTGGTACAGTGATGCCCATAAAGCCCATGTCCCCAAGCTTCTTCCAAAAGTCCTGGAACGAGCAAGGTCATAGCATTAAACACTCTACTATCCCCTTAGTCAATCACACCCTGACGTTTGACGTTAATTGTGTAAAAGAGCTCAAGCTCTTTCTTTCCTCCACTCCTATCCTCTCAGACAAAACCAAGATCAAAAGCTAGAAGAGTGACAGAGGTCACCCCTTTGCAACAGCCATTGGGGACAGAGTTCGAAGTGACAAACAAAGTTAGACCGTATTGCTGAATTAGCCGAAGCGAAATACTGCTCCAAGTTGTACTGAAATAATTGACAACTCTGGGGTAGAGCTAGCGGTAAAGTATGTCAGCCAGAGACGACTAAACTCGGGGTAATTCACTCAAAGACACGAAAACGGGCACCCCCTTCAAGATTGAGTGTTGATTAAAGCTCTGCGCCTCTAACTACGGAAAATTTACTGTTCCCGAGAGACGAAAAACAAAAACAGCAGAAAGGTTGACTTACACGGAATTCTGGAAAGTGGTTACTCTTGTCAATCGCTTGCGCGTGAGGGGCCAACTCCTTTTGCGCAAAGTTGAACGCTGCTTCTCGAAGCTGGGCAAAGAAAGAGAGCGAAAGGTCAGCTTTCCATCGATACGTCGGGGACAGCAGGCTGGAGAAAATGAGCCAACGTGAGGAATTAAAATAGCACAATGTATTACAAGTATCACGACTTCCTTACCGAAAGGCGTCCGTTGTTATTATACGCTTCGCCGTAATGCATTAAGGATGACAATTGATCGATTAATGATTATTTGGCAAAATGTGCCTCCGAGGTCGCCATACGGGTACACCAGTCGACGAAGCACAGAAAACACTTTTCTTTTGTATGTACATACCTCTTGCTGTTCGCTGGTTAATCCGTACATAACATCCGAAATGGGATAATAGGAACATGTTCTAATTGTTAACCGGCTAGGCGAACGTGCCAGTAACTTTCCTAAACGGAGAAGTCCGCTCCAAGAAGTCGTGGATGCCGCCATGTTGTTGACCAAAGTTGCCGGTGATGTGTATAGTTGCCAGCTCCTGTGAGAAATCGAATTCAAGCCGTTCAAAGAGTTCAATGAAAAACAGTTAGGGCGCAGGCAACGTTGGGCGCAGGCGAGCTATGTATGATCTCTATGGGCGAGCTGGTGTAGGTTTACCATTTTGATTTTTGATTTTTTTAGACCACCTGAGAAACGTCGTTGTGTTTCTTCCACCCAGTCTCAGGTGGTCTAAAAAAAAAAAGGAGTTCAAGTTGTCCAACTGGTCCAACCCAACGACCCAATTCACCAAAGTCCAAGCGAATCATAGCTAAGCCAAGCAAGCTGGCCAAGTTATGGTCATAGATCGATATCTTCCCAAAACAATCGTTTTTTCTGTTTGCGTTTTAGCTTGGACATTAACTTTGATGAAAATAACTGTTTTCTGATTTGTTTTTACTTCAGTTACTTCTCAAAGTAGCTCGCCTGCTCGCTTGCAGCAACACGGCAGTAATAACGAGACCAATTTTCAGCAGCACGGCGGACCTCACGCGATGTGGGGTCTGGGACTCGGTGTTTACAACTTCAAGTTCCTGCAGAGTCTAACTGCGTGCTTTCATTTGCTCGCCTCGCCGCTGCCCTAATTAACAAGATGATTGCGAGATTCTTCCAGTGGAAGTTTGTTATCTTATTCTGTGCGCTGGTGTGTTTCGTCTGCCTCTTCATCCGCTTTGAAAATAGGGTTTCTGTGCTCGAGGCCACAAGGCTCAAACTTAGTAAGTACTGACGCATCGTTTCTGACGCATGATCGACTGAATTCACTTCTTAGCTAGCAGCACAAGATGAACTCTCATCCGTTGCTTCGATGTCACCTTTCGATGCAAGCAACGTAGTACTCTGTTGAAACAGGTGGCGGTGTTCGCGACGTCTTGACCGCCCTGGCTAGCTCTGGCGTTGCGAAGAAGGATCAATGATTTCGTACCTTTCCAACACGGGCACGTAATGAGCTAATGCTTGTTTAATACTTTTTGCAGCGGAAACCGTGGGCAGACTTCAGCTTGTATTCTTGAATGAGCGTCTGCACGACTTTCCGCCCGTGCAAGAAAGTCGGACAGACCCTCCGTTGGACGACTTCGGCCTTCCCGAAGGGACTATGGACGACCTGGTGATCATCTACAACCGAGTACCCAAGACGGGCAGCACGAGCTTCATGGGAGTTGCCTATGACCTGTGCGGTGTGAACAAGTTTCACGTGCTACACCTGAACACGTCAAAGAACATGCATGTGATGTCACTGCCTGATCAGGTGAACTACTGCTAACCCTACTATACTCTGGGTCAGCCTTTTGTGGCAATGCAGTCACAAGCAAGAGCGCGTGCGCTCGCACACTTTGAGCGCCGATCGAAACTGTGTAGGAGTGAGTTTCAAGGAGCGCGCGTGCACAGCTTCAATCGGCTCTCAAAGTGCACGACTTTTGACTACTTTTGTACTTTTGACTACTTTTGACTGTGTTGCCACAGAAAGTTGACCCCAAGTAGCAGTTCTGGTTTTTTTTTGTTTTCTAACTTATCTGTGTCGACACAGCACCTTGTCATCTGATAAAAGATAAGGAAGCTCACGTGTAATTAAATGAGCCCCGCGATCTCGGGATGAAAACAATTGGAATGGGCCTTTTTCATAGATCACTGGGCGCATACGCCAACTCTGAGAGAGGGGAGGATAGGGAAAGGCATCATTTTTGGGGGCTCTTTTTTCTTCAGTTGCTCAGGCCATGCTGTTTTGGCTTGATCCCTCCACTATTCTCGTTTCTTGGTTTCATAGTCGTCATGCCTCACCACTGCACAGCTGTTTAGTTGTACAAATAGCGACAGAAATGGTTCAAGCGCAAAATGTTCTAGAGCTCCAGCAGCCTTTTGCGGGTGGGGCACAAAAGCACTCGATGTCAAACACACCGCCCCTTTTGCTCCACCTTCAAAAGCCCCCGTTTTAGAAGCCTATGACGCGAATTCCCCGTATTAGGTGGCCGGGCCCTCAACATGATGGCGGGACATTCTGATTTTAACTAAAAGTCAGTAAGCGTACATGTGAGGTGTAACATAATGATGCTGTACCCGGTACTCAAGTAAAGAATAACTGAATAAAGATTTCCATTCTTCAGGCGTGTGCTGTACACATTCGCGTCTTACCGAGTTAAAAGTGAAAAAAAATAAAAAGAAGAAAATATCAGTCACTGGCAACAGATTTACAATCTGCGAAAGGGATTCAAGTCCCACGGCGACAGAACCCTGACGAGACGCCTTGGCAACTAATCGTGAACTCTCCTGTTTGCAGGGCCCACTTCGTCGGAGGTTTGTAAACGTGCTGTATTCAAAGAGCAATTGTTTCTAACATACCATTCCTTACTTTTTGACAGTGCAGGCGAGCCTTCACAATATCGAGACCGCCCGGATTTCACCCTGTCCAAGTTTTGTTTACGCATTCCCGGGTACGGCGATGCCCCGTGTGTTCGCGCAGACACAGGATGACTAAGGGACGGCACGCAATAAGCTTGAACAACTTAAGCGCACAAGGAGAGCGAAATCAACTGTTTGTAGTGGCCGGGCCTCGAACGGAGCTCACAAGCTCCGGATAAGGTGGATAGTTGGGTTGGGATCAAAACTGGTCACCATCACTTTCCTTACATAACACTCTGTCTTAAAAGCCGACCCCTTTTTTAATTGTTTGAACGACGCGACACCAAAGTGACGATTAAGCGACTTCGAGTCGACGGTCGAAACCGATGTGGCTTCGGCGGTCTATCCATCTTTGAAGGCGTAAAGATGATCATCTGTATCATAGACAGTAGCTTTCGTTATTCCTCCAGAGTCGTCCTGTGCCATTTCGAATAAAAAATTGCATGCGAAGTGACGACAGAAAGATGCGTTCAGAATGATGAAAGACAAAACGAGACACAAGAGAACAAACATAGTTGCGCGGACCAAGAGACACGCCAGGCGCTGGCGGGACGACGAAGTGATGGTCCTGGAGCCCCCAAAAATGTTTCGAGCAACCTCTTGTCAGAGTTTGTGGCCAAGCTCTGATAGAGGCCCATTTGGATTTGGAGCTGGTCAGACGTTCCTACAAATTGGTGACCTGGGCGTGATAAGGCATCTGCCGCTGCATTGTTTTTGTCTTTAATGTGCCGAAGGTCGACGGTGAATTCAGATATATAGACCAGATTTCGAATTTCTTGTGTAGAGTAGGTGCTGTGGTTTCTTTTGAATGCAAAAGTGACTGGCTAGTGGTCGGTCAGGACATGAAACTCTCTGCCTTCAACAAAGCACCAGTAATGCCTATTGCAGCTTGCGGTCTAAAGGGGTAACAGGCAACACGCCGACTTCCACGCCAGTGTCCACGAGAAATTGGAGGCCTTTCATTTTGTCACAGGCACACAAGAAATTTGATATCTGGCCTATATATATCTGAATTCGCCGTTGACCTTCAGCACATTAAAGGGAGAAACAACGCAACGGCTAATGCCTTATCACGTCCGAGTCACCATTTTTTAGGGACGTCAGACCAGCTTCAGACCCAAATCCCTACTGTTTTAATTGCGAGAGGCGAGGCTCATTTAATCACGCGTGGGCCTCCTCATCTTTTATCAGATGACAAGGTGTTGTGTCGTCACATGATCCGTTGTTTTTTTTTGTACCAAAAGTTGGTTTGAGATTTAACGTCATAAAGTGAAAAGTTTTAGTGTTGAACTGCCAAATGGCTAATGCTTATGTTGAACTTGTATTGTGTTGTGTGACTCATATTATTGTTTAAGTTATTACCCTGAAAAGTCTTAAAATTTACACTAGAAAGTGTCAGAACATCATTACTGCCACAGGCATTCCAAACTGTATTTCCTCATTGTACCATATAGCATGTTCTCTTAAAAATATTTCAAGTGACCTACTGCATCAGAAAACTTACTAGTCTGGGTGGTATCTCATAGGCGACCAACGTTGGAATCAATAGTTATTATTTATGCCAGATACATTATAGGAATGTCCTCTCTTTGGGATGTGTATAGTTCTTCTGTGTCTTCGATGACATGATTAATATGGAAAACTTGAGCTCTGTTGGTCGCATGACGGGCTTGCTTTTTTTGGGAGCTGATCCGTTTGTTTCCTGCACTTAGCACATGCAGTGACTTGACTTTTGGCACGTATGGCATGTGGATTATGCAATTCCTTCTACGCTTCGTGTGTGCCGTTATGGCACCACTGTCACTCGTGCCATCAGCACCTCCCATGGTTGGTTTAGGAACTAATGATATCTGCCCATGCGGAAGCGGCGGATTACAGGAGTGCGGGAGTGGCCATGCGGCGTGCTTTTGTTACTCAACCAAATAAATGACACTAATATATTTTAAAGCAAAACGTTTCAGACTAGCAAAGCAGCTTTATGCTGGCATTGACCTGTTTTCTGTAGAAGAGGGGATAATTCACACCACAGCTACCCAGCGGGTAGGTGAAGTCGTGGCTGTTTCGTGCAGATGATTCGACAACCGTTTGCACCGTCTTTCTTTGTTTGAAGCGTGACATTTTACCCGGGCAACTTTTGAGGCTGCCTGAGCCTAGTGGTGAGTTGAGTTTTCCTAGACTGTATTTTCCCCCCTCAATGCACCTTCTGCATCGAAGATGCCGTGTCTGCAGAGTTTCGAATCTTGTTGTGGTAAGTGATGAGGCTGAAATTATATAGAGTAACTCCCTGATCTGGCCGCAAATCACACTCGCAAAGCCAACGTGCGTGACTGGCACAACGCGGAATCGCGCTGGCGATTTTGTCCAGACCTGCACTTTGAGCCCGGGTAAAACAATCATTGCAGCTGTCGTCGACGAGCCAAATAGAGTTAACAAACTTCTTGAATTGTGCTTCATGCTTTTTGATTTGTACAACAAATCAAGAAGCATAAACAAATGCAAACAACACAAAAAAGTGCTTAGAATTCATTTATAAAGAAAAAAAAATGCTAACACCTTAGCTGGCAAAAAGAAATACACACTTTACATATTTTGGGGGTTTCAAGATAGAGAAGGTCTTTGATTCAAGACAAATTTCAGGGACTCATATTTTTCGTGTCAAGTACAGCAGCCACGCTAACCGTCCATGCATTTCTTAAAATTTTGTCAACGCCGTTGGGTCGCCTTTTCTTTCTTTCACGTTTAGAAAGACTGTGGCGATATAGGCAGGGTGGCGAGGCTCAATTCATTCCCCACGAAGTAGGTGCTATGGACTTCTAGCTTCTCCGTTCATGGACTGCCACCAGGGCTTTGCACCAGAAAACGGTGGCCGGCGACTCCTACAAGCAAATCTGCATCGTAAAAACTACTAAGTAAAAATTAATAAAAAAAGAAATGGAGCTTATGTGGCGAGTTACACCTTGGAGCCGCTGCAATTCTTTGCCGCCGACGCTTAGCCGGCTCCTTTCTACAGCTTGCCCAGAAATCGCCAGAATTTCACAAAGAGCTTCTCAGCTTTATTCGTTCAGCCGTTGAGACAGTCGTACACGCAACAAAAAAAGTGTGGTTATTTATTTTGTCTGCGACGCTGTGGACAACAGGATGATGCTTGGGGAACGCTGCCTCGCCCGCAGAAACGGAGATCCAGAAACATATCGATAGTTCCTATTTTAGCCGCTGAATAGCGCCGCAGGTTGTTTTTTTTTAAATATCAGTGTACGGATGGTATTTTTTGGTAAATTATTGCCAGGTTTTCAATATTTTTTTCTATTGCTCGCGTCAAAGGATTGTTGCTTACACTGACCTGCAGCTGCATCTCCTGCATGTTAACATTATTCTATCTCTTCTGCATGTTGTCCTCGCAGCATCCCAGAGTTTGCGAGTAGCGACATTATGCGAGACAAAAATTGGAGCACATACTGCTTTATTTAAAAAGAGCACAGAGCAAAATAAAGGAAAGAATGGACACTACACAGAACTGCTTTGACTTGTCAAAACAAGCTCTCAAATTTGGACCGATTTTGGTTGATGCCTGTCTACTTTGCCCATTGAATGTCTTGTTGATTCTGGTTGATGCAAGTCTATTTTGCCCATTATTTGCTTGTTTTTTCTTGTTTTTTTTTTTCAGATACGGTTTGTTTACAATGTCAGCCTCTGGAAAGCCATGAAACCTGCCATTTATCATGGTCATGTGGCGTTCCTCGATTTTGCAAAGTGAGTCTCCTCCCTGCTTCTATTTTAGTTAATCGAGTCGTAATATGCCCGTAAATTCAAATATTTAATCGTAAGTGCAAAGCTGCTGGAACTTTTGGGCAGCTTATGTACCATACTTGTAGAAGCTCAAATTCTTCTACAGATAAAAACACTGACCCCCTTCTAAGAGAAAGGTGCTGAAAAGCAAGCGCAATTTTTTGGGATTGTTCAATCTTTTCTTCTTAGATACGGCGTCAAACGCAAGCCAATCTACATCAACATAATCAGGAAGCCCCTGGACCGGCTAGTATCATATTTCTATTTCCTGCGGCACGGCGACGACTTCCGGCCTTACCTGGTTCGCAGAAGGCAGGGAAACAAAATGGTAAGATGTTGTCACAGATAGAATCAAAAACTTACGTTGCAACTAAAAAGAATATGTAATAGTTTAATGAGGCCAACTTGCGCCTTCAAGCTTGAAAGGGAAAGGTACCGACATCTTGCGCCTGAAACGGAGGGGCAACCGACCCAAAGTAGTGCATTACCAGTGCTCTTATACATGCGGTGGGTTCAGGAATGTTCTGAACCAGGACACACGATGGCAGCCTAGAATGGGCTAGAACTTTTTAGAAGAACTTTGGATGATAAAAGAAAGGAACCAGGCTGAGCAGGGTATGAATTCTGTTCCTCCACGTGGCAGCTGCGTGGTTAACTGTGCTGCGCTGCAAAGTTAGCTATGTACAACCAACTAGCCCAAACCCAAGTCCAAGCAGCTGCTTGCGTTGCCAACTCCGCCACGAACGTGACAATGCTGAAGCCTCATTCACAGAGCCGGCGTTTCTCCCATCCCGTCACCGTCGCAAGGGGCGTTCTTGTCAGGGGAGAGGATTTTTGGCTCGGTTTTCGCCGGAAAGTGACGTAGGGAGCTGCTCTACGGCACCGGCGTCCCTGCGAGTGACGGAGTCCCGCCCCCATTGAAGACCGACCAATCACAAAATAGAAAAGTTTCGCTAAGTTTGGCAGATTTTTTATCGTTCGGTCGCCAACATTGGGCCAACGCTTGTTGTGTTACATTTCTTGTTCCTTTTCGGCGGAATTGCTAATAGCAGACGCAAATCCCTAATTTATGAAAAAAGAAACATGCACACTAATGTTCAGGCACAATTATCTCTTTATTTCGTAAATTCAGTTGAATAAATAAGCAATCCGATCCAATTCAATCCTGCCGTCGCGGCCTCCGTCGCTTTGCTTGTGCGGCCTGTTCGGACACCCTGCCGTCGCGTCCCCGCCCCGGCGTGGTCCCGTGACGGTGCCGGGTTGGGAGAGGTGCCGGCTGTGTGAATGAGGCCTAAGACTGCCTTCATTTGGCAGAATGGCGTGCCAGAGATGTTATTGTCAACCTCATTGTTCATAAACGAAAATTTGCGGTGGCAGTTGGATTCTTATGTCTGGACATCCAACTTGACTTACTTGCCCAGAAATATATGGGTTTTGTCATAAGTATGTCCTGCTCCTTAGAAATGGTAATGCTTCTAAATCCACGTCTTCGTAACAACTGGCGTTGCACTTTCAGACCTTCGACGAATGCGTGCTGAAGAAAGGGGTCGACTGCGCTGAAGAGAGGCTATGGCTCCAAGTTCCCTTCTTCTGTGGTCACGCATCTGAATGCTGGTACAATAATTACCGTAGAATGCCGCGCATCCGCCCATTCCACACTAAGCGCCCATACCCAAATTTGTGAGATCTGAGAAAATATGCGCAGTATATTTATGTGTAAGATTGATGACCAGACAAGTGCCCATCCCCCATTTTTTTGTGATTATCTCTAAATTTTCAGTGGGTGCTTGCCCGGTATTTTACAGTAGCTCATTTGTTGCTTTTTTCTTCTTTCTTTTTGCATCTTTGGCAATTTTTGTTTATGTGCATTTTATAGTCCTCTCCAAACTGCTATGCATGTGTCAATAAGTTTGTTAAAACACCTCGAGACAGGTGTGGAAGTTGTGTTATGGCACGTTTCTGACATCTGTTCTCGCTTGCTTCCTTGACTTAATCTAGGATTCCTGGAAACCTCTGGGCACTGGAGCAGGCAAAGCACAACCTGATCAATAGCTACTTTGCTGTGGGACTTACGGAGGAACTGCAGGATTTTGTGTCACTGCTGGAGGTGTCCTTTCCTCGGATATTCAAAGGAGCCACTGCCAAATTCCTGACAGGCATGTATTTGGCATTTTTACCTCCCAGTAATAGCAGCTGTTTCAATCTGAATGCAACAGCTGTTGTTGGCCAAACTGTATTTTTTTTTAATTATATAATTGGAGATGTCCCACATTTCTGCAGATGGAGTGCTGCCATCTGCGAATTTATGTGGTGGAACCTGTGACACTAATGACCAGTTGACATATGACAAGTTTTAAATTTTTTCAGCTGTTGCCCATTTATATTTTATTTAGGTGTGTAAAATTTACCAAAAAAAAAAGTCAAATTAGTTTGCATCCTTTTTAGTACTCGCCCAACAACTTACCGAAATAATTTGAGGCACTCATTTAGCTGAATTTTTTTTTTGTAAATAGTACCAAGAATCTGAGACTCAAGTTGGGACATTTCTGGCTACCATCTTCTTTCCATGATTCCTCAAGTTTTGCAAAAAATCGGGATTCTTTGGGTCTTTGAATCGGGATTCTTTGGGCCCTTGAATATCTCGACACAAAATCATTCAGATCGGAGGTAGAAACTTGGCGCGGCCTACCACTTTTCTGCCATTGAACGCAGGCAAGAAGGCGCATCTGCGGAAGACCTTCAACAAGCAAGATCCATCTGACGAGACCGTAGAGAGCTTCAAGAAGTCCCGAATTTGGCAGATGGAGAATGAATTCTACGAGTTTGCTGCCGAGCAGTTTGACTTCGTGAGGAAACGGACGCTTGCAACTCAAAATGGTGGCGAAGCCACTGAACTAGGACAGCAGTTCTTCTACGAAAAGATTCGTCCCAAGTGAACTGTGTGTCCCAAGGCTAGCTAATTGCGTGCATTGTTTGACTACTAATTAGCCTCATGTTTGCTTAATTACCTAAGCACGAAGGAGCATGCTGCAGGTGTAGTTACACATGCTGTGCCTGCTGGCACCTGCTGCAGTAATGGTTTTAAAGCAAAAACCTAAAACAAATTCTGCTTTGCACTTCCGTTCGTCAATGCCTTATTCTGAATATTCACTCCGAATCTTTTATGCAGGTAACGCAAGTTCATGTACAATCCCAGCATTCCCCTGGCTGCTTCGGTTGTTTGGCAAAAGGTCTATTTACTTGTTGTCATTTTAGTGTCTCCAAACAGTTTTGCCTTCATTCCTTCAGACATTATTTATGATTTCATTTGAGGAAAGGCTTTTTTTCCGTTAACATTTCCAGGGTCGCGTTAAAGGTTTTATATTTATATTTTTATCTTATGGCAATAAAGAAATCGCTGACGCTTTTGTTCTAACTTTACGCTGCTTAATAGGCATGTTTGAGTTCAGTGTTCCATGGATATTTATTGCTTAGTCGTGGAGGGGACGTTGTGATTTGTGTGGAGCATGTTGCAATAAGAATGTGATGCTAGGGCTGCAGGAGCTGTACTACAATTGATGTTTTTTATTGTGAAATTGGAGTAACAAATGGCTCTGCCACTGTGGGCTTTCAAGAATTTCAGCTCAGCTTGACATAACTTGAATAGACAACATGTACAAGTGTGCTTGGCAATATGTTAATTTTTTTTTCATACTTGTGTAAAATATTACAAAGTGACACTGCTGCCCGCCTGTGTGGCATTGAGGTTTCATTTCAGTCTCCGAAGCTCAAAGTGGAAAGTTCGAACCTTGAGTGGACTCTCCATCTTGCAGGCTTTGGGCATTGTTGATAGCCTCGGTTGGTCTGCAGTGCAAGTCCCCAATATTTTCATTGTTCCAAAAAAACAAACAAAAAAAACAGATTCTCATGTTTTAAGCTTGTGTGACTTGTGAGCTGTTGAAATCTTTGTTTACGAAGTTCTATGTCTTTTGAATCTCTATTCTTGATGTGTATTTTTGTAATGAAGATGGATTTGTGTCCTGGAGGATTTTGTCTGGAGTGGAATGCTGGAAAACCTCACAGTTCAACGTTTGAATTGACTTGTGTGTTGATAAGCTCTGCAACAAGGAACCCGAAGAAAAATAGTCAAAGAATGAAGGCACATTTTGAGAGATGGATCTGGACCTTTTGCAGATAAAGATAAAAAGAATGAAGGCGCACTTTGAGAGATGGATCTGGACCTTTTGCAGATAAAGATGCAACAAGCGCCGAGCATACAAACTACATTTGGTGGAAGGGTCCCTATCATTTCGTCGAGACTCATTTCATGGAATTACGTTTTGTGGACAACTTTTCATGGGCACACATTTTGCCGACACAATATTTCGTCGACACCTGTTAGCACGCTGTAGGGACATTCCGTCACACGTGTATCACTAGAATGCGCGTTAACCCCCCCCCCCCCGGACTCTATTCACGCCGCTTTGCGGCGACAGTCTCATGCAGCTTATTACAGAAAAAAAAGCTAATCTGAGCTGTCGTTGAAACAATTTGTCAATGAAACATCATGTGTCGATGAAACAATCTGTCAATGAAACGTCGTTCGATGAACGGATTGCCACCGTCGATAGAAGGTTCTGCGCCTCAGCAATGCTGTTCATCACCAGCCAGCTACTGGCACAGTATTCAAACCACCTGAAAGAATATTTAAGTGCACTTCAGATTGCACCGAATGTCTAAGACAGTAGAACGAAATCATGCCAATCAGGCCTAACTTTCTAAGTTTGCTTCAGAAATAGTGTTCTTTAGTCGAAGTTTACTGAATCGAAACTTAAAATATATGTCTCACGTCCAGAAATAAGTTAAGCATGATCAGCTCGATCTGCTAATGACAATCGCACGCTTGTATTTTGAACAAAATATTTTTTGTTCCAAAGGACAGATTCCAGCAATGCATCAAGGGAGCTGAGTCAATTGACATCGCAGTTGGTCCAATACAGGCAAAGCTGCTTGGGGCTTGGCGTGATTATGAGCTCCGCCACTTGGCTTTGTCAATGTGCATTACAACATGGCCGTTCTTAATTGCAACTCCCCTCTCCGAGGAGTTGAATAGTCCGAGCTAAAAAGGGAGATCCAGTTCGACAGGACTCGCGCACACACGCAGCTTGCCGCCGTACTTCTGCAAAGCGGCGCTGCTTTTAACTGCATAGTGATGCAGCGACATTCCATTTATTCCTTTTAAATAATGTTTCGGTGTCTCTGAGCAAAAATGTGTGTCCCCGTGGTGTGGTCAGAACGTGGTTGATATTTAGACAGAATTGCAGAATCCCTTTAAATGCAAAAATACTCCAAAAGCCAGGAGACGTCGTAATTAAAATAAGGACACCAACTTTAAAGCGCTGGATGGATTTTATAAACAAGTACCGCCAAGGTGGTGCATGCTGGGACGCACTTGAGCCAAAAATGGCGAAGCGTCGCCACCAATCTAGTTTCCTGTGGCGGCGCAGCGCTGGAGGAGCGTGCTCACAAACAATGGCGCGTCACAGGCAGCCACAGCAGACTAATACGAGCATGCGCATCTGGATGTGGGATGCGCCATGAGCCAAAAATGGTGACGCGTCCCGTGGCACGATCAAACGATGGCAGCACTTGGAATAAGTCAGGATATCCAGCGCTTTAACCGACTTAACACAAGCATGTCATCTATGCGTCGCGTGCGACTCGTCTGAAAACTGAACTGTGTATTTGACTTTGTAGCTGCAATTACCTTCGTGCTATGCAGAGAGCAAGTTGTCTGCTGCTTCTTGCACAAAAGTCGCAGTGATGTCGGAAAGATGCTGAGCTCCGATTGGCTTCGATTGAAGGATAGTTGGGATAGTGGGTAGGACCTCAAAGCCACCTGCCTCGAGGTCTGTCCATTATCCTTTATTCAGAACCAATCAGACCTCGGTGTTCTGACGTTTCCACAACCCCTGCAAAATGACGCTGACGAAGTTGCGGTCCGCATATTCACGGTGAAAAGCTCGCTAGGGGCGCTTTTATTTTCCTCACCCTGGCTAGTGCACGTGCTACCCACGCGGTTATGTTAATTTTCATAAGGCGTGGAAGCTTTGCATTGCACGTGCTTGTACTGGCAGAAGAAATTGAAGTATCCTCATTCTGGGTTGTGAAAAAATTCCACCCGACAGCGATATCAAGCCTCTCCGAGCGTACGCGGAACTTTCCGATAAATGGCACTGTGTCGAGAATTTGAGATAGACCCTTACATGTATACAGGGTGTCACAAAAGAAAATTTACAGGGTTTTCTTCACCGCAAAAATAAACTAGGCATCACCAAACCAATGTTGTGCCGTTGTGCCAAACGCTCATTCTCTGTCCAAAGGTAGCGCCAGAGGTCACAACCAGATGCGAGCCTCCCTACCAGATGCCAAAGAAATTTCAGCCCAAACTGATACCTTATTCAAAAGTTATAAGTGATTTTCTGAAAATTTCGATGGAAACATGGAGCCCATTTTCGCCCATTTTCGGTTTCTGGTGCCATTGGGCAGGAGATCGAACTATAGGGGGCGCTCTGACCCGTTTGTTTTCCCCACGCTCGGTGTTTACTCAACACAAGGCCTGTGAACATGCCGAGAGGCCTAATGGGCATGTCCATGTCATCTTCTACGAAAGAGCGCGGGGTGCCAGTTTAATGTAAAAAATACTAACAATCGACGAAACGACGTTAGGTGCCGGATCTATCCTCAGAGAATGCGAGCTTGACCCACTTCGGCTTTTGTGCTGAGCTGGGACCGTGCATGCGGCATTGCTCATGCAGACCGTAGTGGAAACAAAAGAGCCCCTCCTCCCCCTCACCTGAGAACACGAACTCCAGCCAAACGCTGACGCCGCGTTCGGTTATGTCGGCCGAGCGCTGAGTCATTGTATTTGTTGTCCCCATCCGTGTAGTTCTAAAGTTAATCGCTTGGGGCGTCACGGTCTGTCCTCCTCCCCAATAGAGCCCCATGTATTCGAACACTCTGTCGGGCGCCATTTTCCCATTGAAATTTTCAGAAAATCACTTGCAACTTTTGATTAAGGTATCGGTCCCAGATCGCGCTCAAACTTTGGCATCGGGTTGTGACCTCTAGAGCTACCTTTGGGTGGAGAATGAGTGTTCGGCGATGCCTAGTTTATTTATGTGGTGAAAAAAAAGCTGTAAATTTTCTTTTGTGACACCCTGTTCTTACTGAAAATGCCTCCCGCATATGTCAATTCCGTGCTTGTACTTTAATTACCCCTTTTAAGATGCGCAAGCTACTGTTTAAATTAAAAAGTTAAATTTTAGCAACGTTACTAGAACCCTCAGTTGGGAAACTCGCCGTCGAAACCTGGGCCGCTGGCGTCCACCGAGACCGAGCTAAATGCGACAACAGCGCCACTCTTTATCATTTGTCTGCACTGTCACCTGTGGTCACCTTGAGCTTTTAGAAAGCATGTTTTTACATAAAAACAAACGGAAAAGACTCTTTTTGTATGAAATTTATTCGAGTTTAGTACAAAATGAAGGGTGCGTGATGTTTTTATAATTTTTAGTTTGCAAGGTTTTGCGGCACAATTAATATTGTTTTTATACAACCTTGCCTCAGCGGTGCTTTCAGGTAGCGCGTCCCGACCTAGGTGCATTTTAACTTCGATAATAAGACCGTAAGACGCTGCGCGTCCGCTGGGGACTGGGAGGCGGGGGTGGCGCCCCTGTAACCAAATAACGTTGCATGTAACCTCTTCAGCTGTATCTATTCGTCACGTCCAGTTCCTCGAGTGGCCGCTATGACAGAAATGGCGGCGTTGTGTTCGCCATTAGCTCGATTCTCGAGGACAGATCGGGGCCACTTTTTCAGAGCAGTATCTATGGCAGTTTCCCAACTGAGTGGTCAAGGGAGCATGGGGAGCATGGCTTGTGGAGTCTACACGGCTGGCGTCAAGACCTCTCCTACGCTTCTATCCTCCTTGTTTTGTGTCCATTTATCCGTGTCCATAAGTGTCCATTTATCCAATTTATCCACCCCCAAAGACCTGAGGCAACATGAGTCAACATAAGCTTTTAAAATAGGCATATTTATTTTATAACTACGCATTTAAATATGTGCTGATAGCATATAATTAAAAGTTAAAATTAAAATCAACTTTGTCCTATTCTGAATGCATCGCCATTTCTTCCAGCTTACGCTAACAACATGAAGTTTGAAAATGGCGGCTGGCACGGGCAGCGCGGGCGACTGGTGCCTCATCGAAAGCGATCCCGGCGTTTTTACGGAATTAATTAAAGGTTTTGGTGAGTTACCTTCTATACTGAGTTGCAATAATAACTGTTACCTTATGCGACAGCATTTTACAAAATTCAACGCTGCCTTTTTGCTCCAAAAAAACGCCTCCGCATGCTGACCGTGTTTTCTGCACGCTCACGCTGTGCAGCAGACTGCGTGTGTGCTCGGAACATACCTGTCTGTGTTTTACGCTTTGCGTATTCTCAGTGTGTGAACCCCAACTCATGTTTCACATGCAGGTGTGAAAGGAGTCCAGGTGGAAGAATTGTGGAGCTTGGATCGCGATAGCTTCGAGAAGCTAAAGTAAGCATTACGTGCGTTTTCTTTTTTCTCGAAATTTTTGTTGATGACAAGCGTTTTTGTTAATCTTTGTTTTCGCCGCAGACCCGTTCATGGCCTCATATTCCTGTTCAAGTGGTATAAGAATGAGGAGCCCAGCGGTTCTGTCGTTCAAGACAACCGTTTGGACAAAATATTTTTCGCCAAGCAGGTATGTTAGTACCATCTGCATGCCTATCTTGACCAGATATATTTAACACCCAGAGCCCGATAGTTTCGAAACGCACACACACACACGCATGGAATAAAAAATATGTATATATTTTTTATATAGATTATGATTCATACAATTTGCACATTATTTCATTGCACTGTGTCGGTGGTCATTAGTGGCTTTAAACGTGGGATCATTGGTGTCATAATAACATAATATGGTACATTGTGTGCTTTGAGTTATTACTGGGCTAGATACAATAAATACCCAAGCAGCATGGTGATGCTTGGCCAGTGTCGTGGCAATGTTGGCCGAAAGCCGGCTCCAATATCGGCCGAATGTGCGGTTTTGCACCACGTCCCGACATCCAACAGGTATTGGCACTTCCTAGTCTCGGCGGAATATCGTGCGAGAACTGCCCAGGTCGGACTGTTGGCCAGGTGTTGCACATGCATCTGCTCTGTATTGGCTGGACGTCGCCTATGCGCTCGCTTTGTATCGGCAGTACTGGCGAGCACGTTAATTGCAGGCGCACATTGCTTGCATACATGGACAAATGAATTGTTTTCAGTCTCGCAAAAGTTTATTAAACCACTGCCATTACACACAGCTTGTTCTTTATTAAATAGGATTGCACTGTTTTCATGCCAAGCAAAGTTCATAAATTAAGCACGAAGGACCATAAGGATTGGAGAGTTCTAGTAGATTGTTCCGATGATAACGATACCCGATACCCCGCCGTCGCCCTTGCGTGTACATTGTATAGTTATCAGGGGTATCGAAGGTATCGAAACAATATACTAAAACTATCTATTGAGACGGAAGCAGGACTACCATATTTTCCGGGCCATAGTCCGCGGACTATATATGTTTAAAAGTTGAAATTTCTGGCTGTGCGGACTATCTACGCGTGCGGACTATACAGGAGTTATGTTTTTCAAGATCGTTTACTATGACGAGACGTGACGAATTTTGTGCACGAAAGTGTATGTTAATGATGATTTATGCACATTATAGGCTTTATTGTGAGCTAAAAAGCAGACATCTGTAAACGTGTGCCGTCTATGAGAAGATTTTCGTGGCGACTAAGCACCAGGTGCGGACTATGCACCGAGTGCGGGCTATCTAAGCAAAATCTTTTATTTTTGACCCCAAATTTCCCCCTGTGGACTATACACCGGGTGCGGACTATAGTCCGGAAAATACGGTACTCTAACAAGCACAGTACTTACGAATAAACAGCAACATGATGTAATCCGTGATATCCGACTAGGGCAGCACAGGGCAATGCAAACACAAAGTCGAGAAAGAAGACTGTCTCCCACATTCAACAGAAGCCTTGCTGTCACCGATGTGCAGTTCTTTGTAGAAGCGCGTTTACGAAACACAGCACAAGAATTCCACGGACTCCGACGAAGAAAACGCCCATTACCAAAAAGTTGGCATGGATGTATTCCGGCCGTTTTCGACGAAAAACCACAGCCGCATATGCAACAGAACACTGAAGAGCGGATTTCGGAAACCAGACCTGCATGGCCCCTATACCGATATCCATAACTTGGCAGGCGGTGAAGACTATGGCCCCAGTGATCCCATCAGCGCGTCACCTGACAAATGTTCGTCTAAGTGATTTTGTCCTACGGAGGGCAGTCGCATGTCGCACCAACCCTTTGATTTGCTCGAAGCAGCCGTCGCGTTCGCTCACAGCTACTGGACGACACAGAAGTTGGGGAGGCTTAACAAAAGGGGATAGACAATGCAGCTATGTGCTTTCTGCTTGCTTTGTCTGTCCTTCTCAGGCTAAAGGTAAGGACATTCCGTTTTGCTTATGTTTGTTTTTATTTTTTCAACCTCGGTTTTGAGTTGGTCAAGAAATTCGATTACTTGGCCAACATAGCCGATCTTCACAAATGACGCTCCCCACGCTGAACAAAAAACGGCAAAGAGTATGGTATGTCAGGATGGCGTCGACACGATCCATCCGATATCGGCTGCATCAAAATGGTATCGGCACAATTTTTGCGATTTGACGCTGTGCTGCCTGAGTAATAAAAAATATTTCCATTTATCCATACAAAAATCTCGTTTGTATGTTTACAGGCAAAATGACAGGAATAGCTGCCCCTCCCTCGGTGCATCCGTGTGTTGTGTACACCAAATATTATTCAAACGAATGGGGAGGCAAAAAGGGAAAGTCCGTCGGTTTTCTCGTTTAGGGTTGGGGTTCGTGTAGATACAGTAGAGAGTATTCGTTTTTGCCCTGTCCTTCCTCTCTCTACCTTGTGCGCTAAATACCTCAATATGTTGGATTACCAACTTGCCCAAATGTCAACTTTACTACAGTAGAGAGGATGTTAATTTGGACACTGGTCACAGTTATGCTTTCTTTTTCAGAATGTGTCCTACGTTGCTGCCCTTTTGTATTCCGCCATTTACTTAATGTGATTTTGCCCCCTAGTTTACGTGCCTGCGCAAGGTAGACACCAAGAAATGAGACTCCTTGATGAAATGGATGGATGCTAATGGCTGTACTCCTTATAACGGGCATTAGCTTGTGTCACTTAGCCTGAAAACTAGAAATCAAAAGTATGATTCCTCCCCTTGCCCTTCTATGACAATAGAACACTTGCCAAACCCCCAAGCGCCCCGGCCTGCACTCAAGGAATCGGGGGAACAGTGTTTTTCCCGTCCCCTGGTGGTCAGTAATTTTGACTAATTCAGTTGTTACACTTGACTGTAAACCGTAGTCATCTGAATATGCATCATGAATTTTGCACAGACCTGTCATATCACTCTTAAAAGTTCTCACCAACGTCAGCATTTTTCACACTGTGCGTGCAATCCACCCTTCAACCTGGGTGAGTTGCATAAGCCTCTTACAACATTATTCTCATGTCTGTTGTTTTTAGCAGGAAATACTTAAAAAGCCAAGAACTCGCAACAACCAAAACCAGGATTTAGCTCGAGTCGGTGGGCTGTTTGTAGCATTTTAGCATATCAGCGTCTTTGAAGCTGTACGAGAATGATAATAATGTAAGAGATTTTGGCTGCTCAGCCAGGTTGAAGGGTGGATTGCATGCACAGTATCAAAAACGCCGACATTGACGAGAAATTTTACAGATGATATGACGGATCTCTGCAATCTACACTACGTGCATTCAGGATGACTCCAGATTACATTCAAAAGTGTGTAAGCATCGAATTGGTCAAATTTACGATCGCTAGGGAACTGTGGGAACACCATTCCAATGATTCCTCAAGTGGGGGCCAGGGCACTTCGGGGATTTAGCATGTGGTCTATTTGCTTCCTCTTTGCAACTATCGCCCGGCGGTGGGGATATTGCCAGGATGACCGTTTGGGGATCGGGCAAAAAAACAAAACATCACCCCCCGCCTTCTGCCCCCGGCGAGGGAGTCTCCGATTTTCCTCTGGTCAAACCTAGTTGGTGTTAGCCCATCACCGGGATCACTGGGTGACAGGGCTGAGACTTGGGGCCAGAGCCACGTGGGAAGGATTCGGAATTTTCCTGTCCTGCCCACCCCCAGCTGTGCTAGTTGAACGTCATTCACTTCTCCCTAGATAATTTTCACCAGTAAATACCTCTCCATCGGTGTTGCCGATATAGTGGTTTTCCTGCTAACTTTAGTTGTTTTTCGAGTCAAGCGGAAAAAATTGCCATTTTTTGCGGCAGGTGGAATTTTTAGCAGTTTCCAATTCATGTTAGCATTTCTTTTCTGGCGGTCTTAAATGTTCTTGAATTTACATTTATGACTTGTAAATAACTCAATTTCTGTGGTAAGTTAGAGTAGTAGGGTCTGTCATTTTTGCTCACTGGCAGCAGAATCGTTGTCAGTGAAAGTATCGCTTGCGACACCATAGAGGTATTACAGCGACATGCGTCGAAACATCGGTGTTTTGATGTTTCGTGCCTATACTTCGACGAAAGAAGTATAGGCATGGGCCGCTTCAAGGGACTGATGCCACTCGAAATGCTTCTGCTAGGTCATCAACAATGCATGTGCCACGCAAGCCATCCTGAGCGTCCTCCTGAACGTGAAGCATCCGGACATCTCATTAGGAGAGACGCTGCTTTCGTTCAGGGACTTCTGCCAGAGTTTCGACGCAACGGTAAGTTCAAGCTTTTTTAAGAATCCCATAAAATACCGAGCAAGTGCCCATCCAAAAGTTCGAGATAATCACCAAAAAAGTGTGGATGGGCGATCGTTGGGTCCCGAGCAAAAAAGCAGCAGGGTAAGCTTTTGTTTCATCCGACGGAACGCCGTAGGAGCGGTATAAAGATCTGGGAGGACCTCTAATTTGTAAAGCTGCTGCGCCACTCTCGTTGAGCCTGCCTTCTGCCGATGCTCTCGCGTTAAGCTTTTTCGTTTTGCCACGGCTTCTGGCAGAAGCGGGCGTTACGAGGGCTCGGAAATTCGAAGGGGTTGGCGCTTGATACGTCTCTTGCTCGTACATATTTTGAGTGTTTAAAAATTAGGGACTAGGCGCTTGTTGAAACGCAGGCCCATGCCTGGTGTCTCACGGTAATGGTGCTGCATTGTTTGTGCAAACAAGTCTGCCACAATACTTTTTTTTTTTTATTGTGCAGATGAAGGGCCTAACACTCAGCAACTCGGACGTCATCAGGGAAGTGCACAACAGCTTCTCGAGGTGAGAAGAACCGTACCTGCTGCGCTTGCTTCATTCTCTTTCCACATGTCGGACTAACTGTGGTGCTCGAGGATGTCGCTGCATCTACGTATTTAAAAGACTCGGGAAGGTAAATGAACAATGCAACGACTGCTCGAGGGTGTCGCCACATATATAGGTTCAAAAGGTTGGAAGTTGGTGGACGCACAATGAAATGTAAATATTAATATACGGTACAAAGACACGGACACCCTAGGCCCAAGTGTTTGCTTGAGAACTTCAGTTGGTGTGTGTATGTCTGTCTGGTTTTAGTGACAGTTTTAGAGATACATGAATACTTTGTCTCTTGCATCCTTTGTTGGTCAGCATTTTTATGTCTGCACTGTTTTCAATCTTCCGTCAGAGAAGCCCTTCTTCTTGGCTGTGAGAAAATTTATATGCAATTGCTGTATGTAGTAAAACTTTGTTGAGCTTTTTTTGTTCTAGGACACTATTGCGCTTAAAGGCTGACGTACGAAATGTTTTTCTGCAAGGTAGGAAAATCATCCTTGCCATTAATCCTCTTTCCCCCCCTCCTACTGCTATCTTGACGGCGGGGAAATCCTTTTGTTGCTGCCTCTTGGGGCTGGATAAGCCGGGATAAGATATTGGCTTGTCCAGCCCCAACTAAAGAAGTCCCCCTCAGTCAGGACAGCAGTGGGAGTGGGGAAAATTTGAAGGGTAGCGAGCAGGAGTTTCCTACCTTGCAGAAAATCTTTTTGTAGGTCAGGCTTTAAGAGAGTATATGAGCGGCCGGCTTTTAATGCTTTCTTTATGGAAGACCATCAGGTTATATAACTCACGAACAGATGATGCGGTTCATTTCAAATTTCTTTTATTGGAAAGAGAAGATGGTATTTAAGTGTTTCTTAGGCAAAGGCCTCTTAATTTTTTTTAAAGACTTTTACAGCGATAGTTGTTGCAGGGACCTCCCAGTTGCGTACACTGCATTGGCATTATGTGAGGCAAAGCATTTTAGCGCACCCCTCGGCTGAGTGATGGTGGACATGCCCACGCGCCTGGCATCTCGGCAGAGGAGTCTGTGAGCGTGCGCTGGCAGGAGCACTCGATTCGGGGCCTGCTGCACCCCCGGCTCTACCCTGATGGCCAATGGAGGGTGGAGGGGAATACTGGAGACTACCGAGAGAAGGCTAGAAAATTGGCGGTTGCTGGTGTAGCAAAGGAGATAAAAGAAAACATGCTAGGTCCCTAAACTGCCTGATTCAAGGGGACAAGCCACAAATAATCATCAGTCATCACCGTGATGTCACGAGGTTGGCACTGCAAGAAAAACTTCTCAGCTCATATGCCCCTTTCAAAAAGAGAGAATCTATTTTTCATTTACACGTAATCATGTTTGTTTGTTTTATTTCCCTCTTCGTACAGAAACGGCCGAAATCGCTTGCCAGGCGAAATGTGGGCTCATCAATCAAATGCCCATGTTTAACTCCACTCGACTCCAGTTGTTCTAGACTTGTTGAAATGACAAATAAAAAATCTTAGACTGAAATTATATTAGAAAAGACTGGGTTTAGCTTCTTTTTCTTTCGTACGTTCCAAACCCTGAGAACATGGAACCTCCTGAAACCTTGTTTTTTTATGCGCAGCATTTATAGGGCCAGCTTCTGGGATTTTGTGCCTGTGGCATATAGGGGGTATTCACTGGATGCCATATTTGAGGGCAATGTCTAGAGTGCACGCTCAGAACGAGCTCACATTAATAGCCTACTAAGACCGGCAATCTTGATGGTGCGGAATGCAGGTTGCAAAAGAACTGCGGAAGCTCGCCGTCAGCACGCGCTTGGCAGTCGCACACACAGCTATGGCCTACTTATTTATTTTTATTTATTTGACTTTCCTGGTGCTCCTAAACAGGTTGTGGACCTATGGAAGGATGCACCATTTGTCAAATAAGATATCGCATTGATGCAGAATTTTTGTTGGAGAAACAATACAAAGTCACTGTAAATAAAAGAGGCTCGAGGTAGACCTAAGCACTTCTCATGAGTTGTGAATGCGAAAGCACGCACGCCGCTCTTTGCTCCCCTCTTTAATCTGCGGAGTACAACGCCATCGGGTGAGCAATTATTCAAATTGTCGTGTGCCTTGCCACGCAAGGAACAGACAGCAACATAGTTCCCAGCAGAAGGAACGAACTGATAAGGGGGAAAGGAACTGATAAGGGGGAAACCAACTGATAAGAGGGAAACCAACTGATAAGAGGGGAACCAACTGATAAGAGGCAGTGAATGCTGTGATCACTGATAACACAACAGTGTGATAACACAGTCAGGATGACATCAGACAAACTGACGCGCTGCGGCCAATGGGAGCCTCGTCTACGCGTGCCCGGTGCCCGCCAATGGGACCGAAGTGTAAAAAATGCCGTTGGCTAGCTTTGCGCATGGTTTCATTAAGCAGTGATGTGATTGCTGCGCCATTTGCGCCGAACTGTGCCAAAGTGCTTACCTTGCTACACCCTGCTACATTTGACCAAAATGTGAGGAATTTGCACCTACATTGCGCCAGAACTTTAGTTCACTTAAATAATACTGAAAATATAACAGCCGCAGGCCTCGCTACAGGGCTGGATGATTAGGATAGGCTTGTCCGGGTTGTCAGGACTTCCAATAATCGTCTCAAATAACATACTATTTCGCACCAAGAACTGCCAGTACTCGGAAGCTTCGCAATAAGTCTCGTGGTCTGTTCTGGTGGGTTAGTTAGCTTTCTTGAGTTTGCTTCTCACCGCATATTGGCGTACTGCAGTGAAGCGACATTTGGGAACGAGGCATTGCGATGTTGCGTGTCTTGCTTCGCCGCATCGCACCCGTGTGCTAAGGGGAAAGGTACTCCTCCAGAGCGAGACGTGGTGCAAGAAAGTATGTGTGGACTCTTTTGTTGGTTTATTTTTTATGCTTTGTTTTTTGTCTGAATTAAAAATTGCAGTTTTGTTACAACCCACCCTAGAACTTGGAAACACACATAAATCTAGGTGATCAAAATGATTGTATTTTAACGTTTGTTCAGTGAGATTTCGTACCTAAAATAATCATTCACGGCAGTTTGCGATGTCCTTCATCAGTCGTCTTGTTACCAAGTCTGGTGCTTCCCCACGCAACTAAACAGCTAGTGTTTGTTCTCCTCCTAATATTTGCCATCTCTTCGCCTCACATTTGCAGTGATATAAATAAAAATAAAGTGTGCGGTTATGCTTCAAAAGCTCTTTTTGCTTCTCCAAAATGAATTTTTGGCTGCTTCAATAGCTGCTCTAAAATGACTACGACCAATCGCATCACTATTTAAGGAGCCATTTTGCATGGTTTCAAAGCTCATGACATCGGCTCGCTCTATGACACAGTTAATGCTTTCGCATTAAAAAAGATTGGACACGATGTAGTCGAAAGAAGAAAAAAAGCATTACTGGTAGCTATAGCCTCGATGACATCAGTGTCACATGTAACTGACGTCACATGACATTGTGCCACAATTCTTTACTTCTGTTTTTGCGTTCCTTTTTTTTAGGCAGCAGATGTTCGAGTTTGATGTGAAGCAGAGCTCCAAGGACGACGACGTGTACCACTTCATAGGCTACGTGCCCATCGATGGCCGCCTCTACGAGCTGGACGGGCTCAAGGACGGCCCCATCGACCTCGGTGAGTCCCTTCTCGCCAGCATTTTGCACGAACTGGCGAGAAACATTTATGGTACACTCGATTACCTTGCCGACAAAACATGAATGCAGCCAAAGCTGGAAGGAAGCACTCGAAAAAGAACCTCTCCGAAGCCTCGGAGTGGCAGACAACGTTTCGCTAAGAGACTTTAGTGCCGTTCATTTTGTTTTTACAATTTTTAGGTCGCAAACACAGGGGGCTACTTGTGTAAATCCATATGGTAATATATCGTGAGCGTAAATACAGTCGAATTTCGTTAATTCAAACTTGCGGATAATTCAAACTAACATGCAGGTCCCATCCTATGTGTCTGTATGGGAGGAAACTCACGGTAATTCAAACTTCGCTTTACTCAAACAAATTTTTGGTCCCTCTCGAGTATGAATTGACGAGATTCGACTCTAGCCCCAAACTCTATACTACCAGACCAATCTACCTTGACCAAACTGGGGTACAGTCTTTGTAGGAAAATGCAATTCTTTAATCAGTTCAGTTGTGTTGTAATGCATACTTTCTCTACTACCCCCATGTACAGATTGCCGGTAATTTCCTGCAGTTTAAAGCTTGCATTCTTGTAGCGCTCTCCTTAGAATTGACGCCAGTGTGACCTTCTGTATTTCTGTTTAACTCCCCTTTAGGGCCAATCCCCCAGCAAGCTGATTGGATCGATATGGTCAGGCCGGTCATTGAGGGCAGGATAAAACAGTAAGTAAGAGTGTCAAACGTCCTCACACTCTCTGAGGCGCCCAAACAAGTCCGCAGGAGGCTTTAGGAACCTTGCCGGAAAGTCGCTCTAGGATACTGATAAAATATCAAGGTTGCAGCACATGTGGGAGAACTTAAAGAATTGATCGGGAGGGGGTGGTGGTTCCCCAGGGCTGTCAGCAGACGAGTCTACAAGATCGGTAGTAGGGTCTCTTTAATTTATGTGTGCATAAAACTTCTGAAAATGTCTTCCGTCTATTGACTTCGGTAACGCCCCGTAAAAATTTCACGCCTTATCACCGTTACCAGTGTCGTCGTTAGGTCAATTTTCAGTTTTCTTTTAGAAGTGTGAAAAAATATGTTAAACTTTTCATAACCCGAGCTTGATACGAGCTGAACGAAAGGGGTGTAGCTCGTTCTGCTTCAATTTAACACACACATCTCATTGGCCTCATTTTTAGGTTTGTTTGCAACACGCTGAAGTTGAAGGGTTTTAACTCAAGACTACCCGTGCGGTCTAACTTTTTGTAGGGCAAGAATATGTTTCTGGGCTCCATTCGTTTGTGCGGAATAGTTGTATCAGCAGAGCAAGTTCTTACTGAAACAATGTGCAATTGGGAAACAGATGTGGCCACCTTTGAATGGTTTTGTCTTGCTTCAGGTACAACGAAGGTGAGATTCACTTCAACCTCATGGCGATGATCACGGACCGCAAGCTGGTGTATCAGAAGCAGCTCGACGCACTGACGAGTCGGCTGGCCGTGAGTCATTTATTTTGCCTTTTGGATGGAATTGGTAATGTTCGAGTTGAGGACGAAAAAGAAAGGGACCTCATAAGCACACTTTGTGCAATGACCAGTGCATCCCCGGTGCATCTAAACCAAAGCTGATTCCTCTTCCATCCTTTATAGACGTGAAGTGTTTATTCTGAACATGTCCGAAGTGAAAAGAAAATCAATTTTATCATCCCTTTAATATGTATACTTGCCCAATTGAGATATGTGGTGTGAAATTCTTTCGTCTGTTGAGCCACTACTGTACTGCGTTGCACGGCACCACATCTTCAACTGTTGAGTGTCATTATGAGAATTTTCCAATAGACCCTTTGCAAAAATCAAATAATGGGAGTCCTCGGTATGCCCCTCCTCCCGCTACCACGTGACCATGTGGCATACGCGAGCAGGTGCAGCCGAGTCGAGCAAGCGACGAGCTAACAGCGGCTGCCCCTTTCTCATCCCTCTCCTTTGTACCGGCTCTGTCGTTTGCTGCACCAACGCTTTGTCGAACCTGGTCAAGCCTTGCTACCGTTGCGGTGCGAACTAAATGAATTCGGTGACACTTCAATACGTGATGGTAAGTGATGACGAATAACCTATTCAAATAAGTTCACCTGTCACGATACCTTACGCTGCCACAGCTACGGTACGCCGCCAACGACGTAAGACTCGGCGGATGGGCGGGATGGCTGCAACGGCTGCTGGCGGTAGCTGCCGGGACGTGCGCGCAGTTGCGGAGGCGCAACGAGAAAGTGCGTTACTATCTGTACCGAGGGTTCCCAAAACCGTCGTGGCGCTGTACGTTTTGCAAAGGGTCTATTGCAAATGCTTCTTGCTGTTCACCGACGTGAGACATAGATTGGTTTTAATGCAAAGGCATTACCTGTCCCATGGAACGCAGCTGGCTTTCTCAGTGACCACAAAAACCTGGCTACTAAAGGCAATAGAAATGGCTGACGCCCATGGAGCGCAGCTGGCGTTGTCTGTGACCGCAAAAAACGTGCAACTAAAAATAACAGCAGTTAAAATGTCTGCCACGCGTTTTAGTTCCAAGCAATGCCACCCCACAGAGAACCCTCTCCTCTGGCGCTGTGCTCGGTGTGCCAGTAAAAAAGGGAGAGCACGCACTGCCGCTGTGTCAGGGCGGGCCGGGGGGGGGGGGGGGGGAGAGTGGTGGAGGAGGAAGAGGAGTGGGAGAATCCCGCTCCGTCTGCTAGGCCCAATGCCACACTCCGACCCTCTCGGCGCCGAGGAACATCGCGGCGCCCGAGGCATCTATATCGTCAGTGGCTACAACCTCGGCAGTAGCGAAACGTGGCTGTCCACGCCAGCACTCAGCGACGTTCAATTGGACATTAATGCTTTTGCATTTACAACTCATAAGAAGTGCTTAGGTGTCCTCGGAATTTTTTATTCGGTAAATTAGCATTTTAGCTTACTTAGTTTAATAATGTCCACTTGGTTCCACAAAGCAGTCCTTCCTGGCATCCAGCAATCACTCAAGTAAAACAGGTTTTTTTTTTCTAGTCAAATGTTTTGTTAAAGCTAATTATTTTCTCTAGGCTGGAGCCATGGAAACAGATGACCTGCACTCGGAAATCAGCAAGCTTCACATGCTTATTCAAGAGGAGGAAAATAAGAGCAAGCGCTACAAGGTACAGTAACTGGTTTACTCGAAGCGCCTTTGGTTGCTGGCATGAATGCTTTCCTGGATGTAAGCAGTCAGCCCTATAGTAACAAGCTATTTGCGTGCGCATTGCATTTCAGGTAGAAAACATCCGGAGAAAACACAACTACCTACCGCTCATCATGGAGATACTCAAGATCTTGTCCGAAGAGAAGAAACTGGTGCCATTGGTTGAAAAGGTAGATAGTTACTACCTAGATCTTTCGTTATCTGTAGTTCGCTAGCATTTTTTTAAAGTTATTACTCATGCTCATCCAGCGATTGTAACCGTGAAGCGGCAATAATGTGCAAGTTGAGGATAAATAATCCTTGGCTTAGTATGTACGCTTTTCGAAGTTCGCACCTCAGTGAGTGAGGGATGGCGATAAATTTATTAAAAAGGGGTGTACTCAAATACAAAGCCCCACATTTAAAGCATAAACAAGGACATGCTTTAAAAGTTTCAACTATAATCTCTAAAAAAAAGTAAAACAAAAAAGAAATTGGAGTTTATTTTTACTTTTCTATTAACTGACAACTTTAGACTCTTTTCCCAGTATTGAAACCTGATGCTCGTAATGAGGAGGAGAAGGACCACATCTCTATCTATGAAAAGAAAGCTGTTGGCCCTCAACTGCTCTTTTTAGGGGCGAAGCTTCCTAGGGTCTAGCCTTGTCCGTCCGTCCAGCCGGCGTCCGTGCCCACATAAAAAGAAAAAAATGTTTTCGCAGTCGACAGGATTCGAACCTGTGCGGGGAGACCCCAATGGATTTCTAGTCCATCGCCTTAACCACTTGGCCACGACTGCGGGATGAGTAGGAAGCTCCGAGATGTGGTAGTAACTAAAGAGCTGGGGATGTCATGGATGAAACGTTGCATGTAGCCGCTCAACGTCTATACAGGAGAGGGCGCTGCGGTCAAATGCGTATATAATCGCGTTAAACTTTGCATGCATTGGCTCAACGTTTATAGACGAGAGGGCGCCACATTCAAATGCATATATAACCACGTTCCATACCACACATTCTCTTTCTGACATGAACCGTTGACTTAAGCGGTGGAGATGCATTCCCATGGCTTTTAGCGGATCCAAGCTGATCCGCTAGAAGAACCACTGGCTCTGCATTTCACCGACCACAAAGCAGTAATAATGAAGTCGAAACGCAACCCGGAACTGAGCACTACCTATGAGCAATAAAAAAAATCGGCACCATCAGTACCACCAGAGCTTCGCCCCAATCAACATCATTCACCACGTGGAGATGCAGTCATTTTTTTTGTTTGATTTGCAAAGCACTCTATGGCTTGTCTATTGTTATAGGATTTGACTGCAATGAAAACTTGCTTGTATTAGACTGAGCACTACGGAACTGTGAACAGTGGAACTCTGTAGCACAGGGGTGGAACTCATGAAATGTACTTGGGAGCAGCCACGGGAGCAGCTGAAACAGTTGTTTTGGAGCAGCTTGGGAGCAGCTAAAACTACATTCTGGAGCAGGCTAGGAGCAGCTCAAATCAGTTTTTATTGCAGCCTTCAGGTTCTGTCTTAGACAATCACAGGAGCAATTTCAATTATGCTTTGCAGCGCAGATTAACATGAGTGGTTAGGGATCTAGGTGGAAGGCATAACAGTGTAAAAAATTCGAAAACTTGAAACTTTGTGAGTCTTAATGAGAACCAGAAAGCAAGTACCATGTTTCTGAAGATGTATATATAGTGTCCTTAGTATTTTCTGAGTGGCTTTCAGCTGCTCAAAATGCAAACCAGCACTGCCTATCGCACAACCCACACGTGTTCGACATAGTAATTCTATATGTGTGAACCATGTGACGTGTTTAAGCAACGGACGAGTAGTTGCGCGGAGGAACAGTGCAACCAATTTCAAGTTTATCCTATTGTGCAACTCAATATCCAGACGGCAGACTACGATTAACGGAGTTATCGTATTTGAGGCGATAAGCAGGAGCAAGGTTAAAGTACGCCGAGCAGATCTATCGCTCGCGTGAGAGCTGCTGGTCGACAAGGTTTCGGATCGGACCGCGTTTCAGTTCTAGAAAATCACGATTTATCTTGCGGGAATGTGGTTCTAACTTCTAACGATGAAGTACTAAACGCATATTTTGCTCATTTGTTTTCAACTGGCTGACGTGCGGATCCCGGGCCTCAGAGCCTCAGACAATCTGACGCTTTACTACTCGACCCCGCTTATGGTTGAAGAATAACGATCCAGTCGCAGGTGGTGTAGCGCTTAGAATGCAACCCCAAAGTTTCTTTTTTTTGTGTGTGTGTGTGTGTGCGCGCGCTTCCGATTCGGGATACACAGGGAGAATAAACAGAACAAAGGATTGCAAGGCCGACCAAGCTAAACGCGCTCATTGTTGCCAATCGAGTCGATAGAAACCGAAACCAAGACAAAATACAATTTTTTTTGCGCACGTTTTGAGATTTGGAGCATAATGGCGCGAGGTACTGGCTTTGGCGCAGTTTCCGCAACATGGCGCAGACAAATGCCTCTGGCGCAAATGGCGCAGCCGTTCCACCCCTGTAGCATAATCAATAAAAAAAAAGGCAGTAAATTTTTTGACAAGCTCCCTCTTTTCTTTTCTTCACAGGCAAAGGAAAAAGCACTCGAGAAGAAACGACAAGGAGAGAAGTCTAAATAAAGGCACATTGATTTGCTTGTTGAAATGGTAGCTACCTCCGAAAGCTCCAAAACGAAAGAACCGTTTCAGAAAACCCTGGAGCTTGTACGAAGTGCACACCATGTATGCAGAAAGAAAAAAAAATGCAGCTCTTTTTTTCATCCATCAGCTTCTGTTTATTATTTACACGAACAGCACTATGAGAACATTTATGCACATGACTAGAACAGTGAAACCATGAAAAACAAGCATCCCATTTGGTCAAGACCGTTTAAATCGACACTTCATGCTTAGCTGCACTCAAGCCAGAGTTCAGTCAACTCATCAGACCCTTCGGAGTATAAATCAAGACGCTCTCAATACCATTTGAAAACGCCCCCCAAAGCCCCACATTCGTAAAAATAGCCATAGTAGCCGTGCTGCTTCATAAAAAAATGGTCTTCAGTATACAAATTGCACATAATATATTAGTGACTGTAGTGAAATACCAGCTACAGTGTATCGATGCTGTACAGATTACCTAAGCTTGAGAAACTGCATCTACATCTTGGCAGCCACAGCCTTCGAGATGGCATGTGCTCTGTAGTTGCACTGACCTCAATCCAATTGGGGATGGCTGGTGGCGTATTAACGGGGGTGACGTCAGATAATCGCCATTATAAACAGTAGCTGCCATCGAAATGTTACAACTTGACATTCTCAAGGATGCAAACGTGCGACGCCGGCCAAAGCTGCTACAAAGCACGAGTTGCTATGTGTGGTGCAAGAAGTATGGTGACTGGAAAATTGCCTCTGAATGGTGCATATCCAAAATTCTCGCTTTGGGGGGGGGGGGGGGGGGGGGGGGGGGGGGGAGTTTATTGCCCCCTTCTAAACTTTCATGTCAACTTTTTTCTTTTTTAATGAAAAAATTGGCAGTTTTTGGTGACATATCAAATATTGGATCAACAAATTGGACCTGTGCAACGTTTCGGCCTTAATGCCATAAACGTCGTATCTCAGCAAATACTTTCTCTCTCTCTCTCTCTTTTTTTTTTTTTTTTTCCCGCCCGATGTCACGCTTCTGTCATGCTATTGCCTGCACCAGATTTTGGTGGTGCCATGCCGCAGAGGAGGACCACGACAGATGCCCGTCTTGCTATTAGTCGCTCTCCAAGCAGCCAGGCAAATGACTGCGACTCTTGTGTTTCCTCATTGTTCTTTTGCCAGGACTCCTACAAGCAACCACCGAGTTTGCGACGTACAGCAGCAAGACACTGTGGGTCCTGTGACGCATTTAGTTGCCGTTTCGGGACTGCTTTCAATGTACGGTCAGCACGGGATGCGGAGCGCGACAGTCGAAATGCATTGCACGCACCACGATGCAAGTATCACTCCCCTCTGAGGTTAAAGGCCCGTTCACACTCTTGCAACCGAGTACGACCGAGAGAGACAAGACTTGTTAATACCTCTTAAAATTTCTTAGGACGAGAGAACACGCTAGTGCCATCTATGCGGTGACCCTGGAACTGCATTTCACAAGAGCGAAGGTTTTGCGGTATTTCCAAGGCCAAATGTGCGTAATACCTATAAGAAAGGCTCGTTTATAACGTTGACAAAAGATTTTCGAGCCAAGAAGGATAATGCGCGAGAGAAATAGAAAAGATGCCGGACCGCCATGTTTACACTGCTACTCAATAGATGGCGCCAGTGTGTCCTCGTTGTAAGAGGTTTCAAGGAACCCAGTTTTAAGAGGTCGCAAGAGTGTGAACGGGCCTTAAATGTGCTAAATCCCCGGGTGCAACGAGCCAAGAGTGTCTGTCTATCGACCTATAGCCAGCTAAACTCCCAGTCCTAAACTGTTCATTTTCCAGCACGGTTGGTATGTATAAAAACGAGTTGATGCACGACGACTCGGAGGAGGACACCACATCGAGCTGCCAGAAAAGTGCCGGCAGAAATTCAGCCCAATCGAGCAAACACTACCTATCCGTTACTACACTTTTTTGTTACTCTGATTCTTCTCCAAACTGTGGGAGAGCAAATCAAGGTGGGAGCATTCACACTGCTACCTTGAAATGAAAATGGACAACTGAAGCCGCAAGAAGCCAATGCTTGGAAATCTGACGGCTGGGCAATCTAGTATTAAAATCTTTTCCTCTTTGAGATTTTGAGGCCGTACTCATTGCGTAACGTATGCGCTTAAAATGTCTTTCAGTTTGCTCGCTGCCATGTCCTCGGCTAGGAATGCCCCTTACCACCGTCTCCATTCGATGTCTCTCTTGTAGCGAGCAGTTCTGCAATCTGCACATTGGCACCACCAGTCCAACCTAAAGCCCCTCGATGTGTTTGTCTGGCAAGTAGCGTTAAATGTGTCGAAGCACGAGGTCCGTGCCTCGTGCAGCACTTGGAAGCAAACAGTGGCCAAGCACTTGCTTGTGGCACTTGTTTCGCTTGTGCTCACCACAACGGTTAACTTAACTTGTAAAAACGTGAAGTGTAAATTTATTAAAGCTGACCTGCCAAATATTTTTCAACCAGGGTGAAAATGTTTCTGCCACCCTTCATATCCCTCTCCCACACTTAACTTGAAGGTGAAAAGGGGGGGGGGGGGGGGGGGCTCCTTTTGTTACTGCACCTTGGTGCTGGATGAGCCAGGATAAGCTACAGGCACATCTGGGATCGAAGATGCAGCAACAAAAAGAGCCCCCCACTGTCAAGATAGCAGTGGGAGAGGAGGAAATCTGAAGGGTGAGAAATTTTTGCCCTGGTTGAAAAATAATTTGCACGTCAGCCATAAAGGGCCTTTAGTCTAACTATACTCTGGGGTAACTTTCTGTTTAATTTCTGAGGAGAGCGCGCGTGCAGCTTTAATCAATGCTTGGTCTGGGACAGGGCATGCGTGCCCATACCTTTGACCGCATTGCCACGGAAAGTTGCACCTGAGCAGAGCGGCGATCGCTCACACAAACGCGCGCGATTAATTCCACGAACGTGCACGCCCGTTCACAAAAACCCGTGCGACGGTTCACACGGGCGTCCCCGTGGGTTCGCACCGCACCGACATCACTCCCAACACCTGCCCCAGCTTCGAGTGGCGCTCCCCGGCCGCCACCGCTGCACCCTTGGCGCCCCAGAGGAACAGGAGGTGCAGCTCGGTCCGAAACACGTCCAGCGCGATGTCATCCGTCTTGATGCCCTCCAGCACGATCTGGCCATTGCGCCGGAGCGTAGGCAACTGCTGTGCCAGCGAGCGTCCCTGTTCCAGATGCGACACGAGCAGGAGCAGTCCGTAGTCTGCCGTCGACTGTTCCCAGGGGAAGAGCTCGAGCGAGGAGGCGTCGGAGCCCCTGCGGCTCTGGGCGCAGCCGAGATCGCCGAAATCGTGCTCCAGGATGAGCAGTAGGGAGAGTAGATAGGGCAGGCAGGTGTTGGGTGCTTGTGGGTTGCTGCACTCCTGCATGTGCTTCAGGGCCGGCCGAAGCTTGGTCTCGTACGCGAGGGCGGTCTCCGTGTGACGCTGGCGGAGCGTCAGCCACGTCGTCTTCAGCCGAGAGATCTGCGGACACGGCGGGGAAGGCACTCCTATCAGAAGCAAGCTCTTGTTTATTTTTGAAAGCCAATGCGGAGCGCAAGTTTGTCTGCTCCTTTTGCAGGGGTTGTGGTGATGACAGAAAGCCTAGCTTCAATTGACTCTGTTTGAAGGATAGTGGGTAGACCTCAAAGCAGCTTGCTTTGAGGTCTACCCATTATTCTCCAACCAGAGCTCGGCGTTCTGGCATCACCCCGACTTCTGCAAAAGAAGCAGACGAACTTGCGCTCTGCATAGACCCATCTGATTGATCAGTTTTGATACGCCGCCACTGCCATAAGGCACAAAAGGAACTTTAGGACAACCCCACTGCGGGACTGCACGAGCGGAGCACGAAACGGCACGAGCCTTCCTGTGCACTGCTGCCTGCCCCCGTGGACTAAAGTTATTGCGGTGTCACATATGCACCAAATACTTGGTGAGATTGGCCTATCATCTTATGTCTAAAGAACTTGTGACATCCCTGTGCATGGTGATGTCGTAGGCAGAGAGGCGTTTTTTTGCCTACTGCTATGTTGTTGTAATGTGTTTTTTTCCTTTGCAGGGGTGGGTGAAGCGTGGCGGGTCTGTACGTGTCGCAGTTTGCATCATAACCGGTTCTGTTAAACCAGTCACGGAATGACGATGTAACCAGCGAAGCTCTCTCATTTTGAAAGAAGATTTTGAAATTAAAGGGACCATAAAACGATTCTGAAATTGAGTTCCATCCACCGATAGTCGTAAAAGGTGTGAAAAGAAACAAAACTAGGGAGCCAAAAAAACTTTTTTCCTATAGAACTTTTAAAAGAAAACTGGACTCTTTTGCGCCTTCTTTGCTGCGATGCATCCGCGGAACCGCAGCACGTCAGCCGAATCCACGTCGCCTATTGGGTAAGAGCCTACCCTACCAGCACCGCAATCACAATAAATAGCCGACGAATGTTTCCTAAAAGTTTTAATAAATAATATTCAGATCCACATTTTGTAGCATAATTAAAGATGTGACAAAAATTGCCAAATTTGATAATGCTGAGAGCCAAGCGCCATCTATCGTGTGGTAAACGAAGCAAGGAAAAGACCGTAGGGCCGACAGCGTTGCTTGGTCGTGACGACCAACGAACGTTTATTTTTCTATGTGTTCTCGCACGTCCCGACTTCAAGCAGCAAGAAAAAAGTACTTGAAACGGACAACGACTAACACGAACGCCGGATCCACAAACACCCGAGGAAAGCTATGACGGTCACGAATCCACAGACTCCGATCAAGCGAATGCGCAGAATATAGGCCTAGCAGGCAGTCCGACTCGGCGCAGCATTGCTTCGACGGTACTTGGCCAAGACAGTCTGCCCACAACCGGCTGGCGTGCTGAATGGAATATGCCTGCGCGACCCTTGTGGACCCTTCCTGTATTATAGCTTGATGGCTGACCTCAATTTTAGATAAGAGGTGAGGTCAATCTCTTGCCCTTGTCATCTCCTTGTTTTCCGAGGCAGTGTTGACGAACACTGTCGTCGAAAAGGGACTCTCATCGATTCTATCTTCTTGTTTTGTGTGATATAGAGCTCAAATAAATGCCGTATGGATTTTTATTTTGACAGACTGCACGTCACTGTCGAGATATAACAGTTCGTGGGAGCTACGTGCAATGCCGGTCCAACCTTCCTTTGCCGAGTGTCGCGTCAGTATCGAGTTGCAATCGTAAAAGATCTGTCCCGCAGCGCTTACAAACAGCGCGAATACAGCACTTCCAACAAACGCGCGCGTCCGCTCTGAGTGTGAACCGGTATTTATGTGACTCTTGCTGACACTGTCGTAGTTCAAATGTATCTTTTTTAACGTCGGCTCGCTCCTGCATCTCTGAGGCCGCGAAAAACGCCACGGCAATTTGTTTCCATCTACATCGCTTTGCAAACGACTGACACGGGCCGCCTTTTATCAACAATGACAGTTGGGTTGACTTCTGGAGTCTTCACCGGAAGGCTCGCCGCACTTCCCAACAGGCATACCGGCGTACGGGACTATACTATGTTTCACCTTGTAGTGTATTGCAGGAAAGGCTAGAAGCGCGAGCTCCTTGCTCTATGGCACACCTCGGCGGCACAAGCTCTCGTGCACCAAGGGCAGCTGCCAACGCTATGAGCTTGCGCTTCTAGGCTTTGCTGTGGTACAACATAAGGTGAAACGGAGTATAGCCCCATGCTGTCGCTGTAGCGCAAGATATCTCATTGAATTTCCCTCAGCTGCGATGTGTTCATAGCTACCGCGGCAATGAGAGGCGCTGATTCAAAAAATACGTCGGCGACATCAGTGCCATCAGCGTGGTAAAACCTACCGGCGCACCACCAACTTGCCGCCGCTAACGCTCCCATTCTCTTACTGCCGAGAGAATTTTCGGTTCCTGTGCCAGAGTATGTCACAACCGTCAAAATTACGCCGCAACTTGTTTTGCGGTCAGTTGGAAAGAAAAAAACGTCGATAGTTCATTAATTTTTTGTGTAGAAGTTAATAAACCAAGACGAAAACGGATGCCTGTTCGGCATTCAGTGAACGTTGAAGGTTTAATGTAAACATTATCTGGCAGAAGTAAAAAGGTCATTTCCTGGTCCCTTTAAATTTTAGCCATTTTTTTTTCTCCGGGATTCGGGGGCCATGATTAGAAGTGTGCAGACTCTATTACGGTGTTTCAGTACTCCCATCAGGCGTGAAAACAATTCTGCAGCAAAATCTAGGTAAAAAAAAATATTCTATTGCAAGTTTTTATGCTTTCAAACCCCATCCACGAGCAATTTCTTTGAGATTTAGACGTAACCTGCTGAATCTGGCTTTGTGCACGCTAAGCATGCATAAAGCATGCACAACTTCCTGTAGCTCGCACAAAAAAGACCGAATAGCAGCAGCTTTTCAGTGGCCTCCATCGGCTTCAAAGTAAAAGGCAGCATTTTGACAGGATACCAATCTGCCATTTTGTTCTTAGCTGCGGCTTACTGTCTTCCAAGTCTGACGATGTGAAGGAAATACAAAGGGAGCTCACTCTTTGCATATCTCCAACAACAAAAAAATGGGTGTGGGTATGTTTATACATTGTAAACTTAGTCTCCCTCAATGGGCAACTTGTCTCTCAGCTGTAGATGAGAAATTTAGCAAATGCAAAACAACCGCTAGCTTGGGGTCTTTAACATGCATCACGCAATAGTGATACATGACCGCACGCCGGTACAATGCTTATCCAGATCGAAACTGGCAGGGGTGGTGATTGAGCCCAGGATCCCCGGGTTCTGTAGCGCTACATAAACAGTAAAATGGCAGAGAAGATTCTTGTCGATAAAAACGCCCCATAAAGACACAAGGGGCGTGCCAAACGCTTTTTGCGCCACAAACTTGCCTCAGAAAATCGGTGCCAAGATGTAGCGAGTCGACATTTTCCTAATAATGTCGTAGTTTAGTAGTAGCTTCACCTGCTGAACTGTAACATTGGAATTCAATCTAAAGAAAGCTAAAAGGTTTCACTTTTAAGTCCTTTCGGTCAAAAAAAAAGCAAAGCATTCGGCGCGTGGGAGTGCACACCTGCGGCATGGCAAGGCCCAGCATGATGCCCGTGAAGCCGTACAGGTTCCCCAGGGCTGTCTTGGTGTCGCCGGCCACCTGGATCCACTTGTTGAGCAGCTCCACACGCTCTGCCTCATCGGTGCACGTCAGCACCGTTGCTGCCACAAACAGCTTGAGGCACTCTGTCCTGCAATCGCATGTGAAAGACGAGCAGCTCAATGTTAACACTGTTGGAGGTCACCACGTGTAAAGGAGCACTGTCATTCAGTTTTCACTGGGAAGACATCATAGACCCAACTGTCAACAGCACATCAAATAAAGCAACTACCTAAGTGAGGAATGCTGAAGATAGAAGAAACAGCACACCAAGCGTAGAGCTTTGTGGGAATGCAGAGTAAGCTGACATGTACAGAATCGGTAATAAAATCAATAAACTGAATAACAGATAAGTTCATGAAAGCTGGATCAGACATATGTGAGCGACGGCGTTACACAACAAGAAGGTTGCTATGGCAATCGAGGTTGGTGCAAGGCATAGCAGTGGAATGCAAGGTGCTGCGATGCAGCTCGAACACTAATGTCTTAACCGGTTTCGACATTTAATGGACATACCAAATACGATTATGAGAGTCAAAGGACGCCGTGCATACTCTAGAAAATGCCCGTGCGTCTACTTTCCTTCAAATCCCTCGGAGAGCCAATTGCTGTAGAATACGGAGTGAGCTCTGCATGCGACAAGGCCAGAAATACCCTCACCGAAATATGCCAACTTCAATGCGACGCACGCTCGCGTGATGCTCCTATTCACATTCAAACTTCATTTCTAGACCAAAACCTCCTCTTCCGCCTCGTCATTCATGCAATTTTTTATTTTCTCTTTTACGGAAGTGGACAGTTTTTTTTGGCACTCTACGGGAAAGTAGACGCACGGGGTATTTTTTTCAAGGTGCATCCAAGAAGAACCACACCCACCTTTCCAAGAGGTCTTTCCGTAGCCTCGACCCTTGCGGAAGGGTCAACAGTTCGAGCCCAGACATGACGCCGAGGCCCCGGTCCTTTTCCGCCAACAGCAGATCCAGGTCCACCCTGGTCAGGTGGTGCGCCAGCACGCGTGGCCCCCCCTCCAACAACACTCCGCGCACGCGCTCCATAGCACTTTTCTCCAGTGGCTTGTTGTCCGACGGCAACAAAGTGGTGGCGAATGCATCCGGCGCAAACGTTGATACGGGATCCGCTTCTGGCACCGTCACGACGCGGTCAATCTTGCCGGGGTCCGAACACCGCGTGGCGACCGTGGCACAGACGCGACCGCGAGGGGTTCGGTGCGGCGTCGCAACCTTCTTCTTCACTTCGGAAGGCGAGTGTGGCTCTCGCGCGTCTGCATGCGTCGAGATGCCGTTTTCGGCAAGTTCAGAGTACACGTGTCCCTGCCCCTCGCTGTTGTTGACGTACTGCGCGGCCGTAGGTTGGTCGTGGCTGCGGCTTGCTCTCCCAAGCGTGCCGGTGGGACGTTGTTGGAGACGCCTCGACGGGACGCGGCTCGGTTTGGGTGGTGGTCTGTCCTCGGCGTCGGCGTTTGCTGAGGCGCCTTCGGAGCTGGCCGTGCTTGAGAGCGGCCGATGGTGGTCCCACGGTCGGCGTTCCATTGTGGGGCTCAACATGGGGTCGCTGCCGACGCGAATGAAGCCTCTCCGCTGGTGGGAGTTGGAACCCGGGTTCGAACCCTGGACCCCGCGCAGCGTGCCAAACGCCGGGGTGTGTGGGGAGTGGGGTGGCAGGCCAGCGACGAACGGGTGGTGCATCTTTTGCGGGAGCTGCGGCTCCGGTGGGAGCTGCTGCTGTTTCGAGAAACGGGCAAAAAACGAGGGTGCTTAGTCGTTTGTTACAAGGAGGCTCGACCCCAGCGCAAAAAACTGTGCAGACACAGGCACAATGAGCGTGCAAGAGCATTTTAGTTTCTTCCAAGGAAAACAAGTGGTCGGCGAGGTTTATCCACCTATGACCGAACTTGCATCGTGTGACGACGTACTAGTTTCATCAAGGTTGCTAGCATCTACAATTTAACCTGGCACTAGTCAAGTCAAATTATGTTGTACGGAAGTGTAGAGAATGGGAAGTTGGTCTACCTTAAGGGGGAACACTACTCCGGAAGGCTAACTTTTGAACCGTTTGTCTTATTTGCATGAAATTTGCAGGGTGTACTCATAGCACTAAACAAAGATGCCGTGGAAATTTTCAACCCTATAAATATATCCCACGATGAGTTACATAAAAGTTCATCATAAAATGTGTATCTGCTGAGGAAAGCTATCGTTTAGAAAGGGTAATGAAAATGGCCAGTTTTTTTGGTGGAACATACAGCAGAATACTTGCTTCAGACGACTATGAAAAGAAATTTAGAAAATTATAAAATTTATTCACAAAAAAAATATGGAAAAAAATTTTGTTTTTGGTGTACATTTGATTAAAAGAATAAACTTTTCATAAAAAAGAGCAGAAAAATGCAGAAAGTTCACAGTCGTGTTCTCCAGAAAATTTCGATATAGAAAAACCAAAATATATCTGCACGCATAATTTGATTATTAAATGATAGCTTCCCTGAACTGATATTTGACACTAAAAAGTGAAGCTGAGATATATGCCCTTGAAATTTCAAGATAAGATTTTAAAAATTTCTTTTTGCGTGTTAAATGACAGAAATTCTTTCCAGCAGTGTATGTGATGTCTTCCTCAAATTCTTCTGATATACTGATATTGACTTCAGTTATTTTCACTTGTGGATGACGAGTGCTACGCAGTGCAGCACACCTCACCAACATACAAAGGATAATTATTTTTGACATTATTTGTCAGTGCACATTGACAAGACTTTGTGAGAGTGTTCCTTGTTATCCATACATGCCAAAACTCTGCAGTTCTGATTATGAATATTTTTGAAAAAAAAAAAAAAAGTGCAATTCAAGGTAGTGTCTCCCCTTAAGATGGTACATGGTGTATCGCAGTAACTCGGCAATTCAACCACCGCAGCATGACCGCTAACCTGAGGTCGTTAACATTTACATCTTGCAGTACAAGGATTAGACGAACCTATGTCGGTACGATGACAATCTGGATGGAAACAGACAGGGATCAAAGACTGTTAACACTAAACAAATCACCAAAAAGGCAACAATTTAAACCGAGACTATTCAATCTGCAAAGGAAACCGCCCACAACAACGTGAAAAGCCAGTTCGGTACGAGCAAGCAAACGTGAGATGCAAACGTACCGTGTTGCCGCCGGGCGGTGCCACCACCGAATCGAGCGAGTTGGCATTGTGGACTTCAATGCCGTATCGCGTGGCATAGTAGGAGAGCGGCATGCTGCGGTTGACAGGTCGCGACACCACCGCACCGGAGGCGGCGGAGATGGGGCGCTTGTTGCCCACGTAGAAGGTGACCAGGTCTGGCACTGTGTCGAAGCAGTCGTCCTCGAACTGGTACTGGATCCGCTCGTACACTGTGTAGGGCTGCAGGACCACCTGCGTGCATGCCACCCCGCACCGGGGACACGTCAACAAGGCCGGAGACCTGCTACCCAAGAGCGGGGATTCGAGCAGCAGCAACGGTCAGTCGGTTGATAAAGAATGCCAAAACAATTGCTCTGATTACTTGGAGCAGCAAAACTCTTACAAAACTGCAATTTAAAGAGAAAAATGGGTGGCGATTGGTTGTTGGCGACCCCTTTGTTTGGATTCGGAAGCCCAACATCGCTTTTTGTACAAATGACACAGGCCATTTTTGTGAACTAGGCCTGCACCTCTACTATCCTGCGGAGCATATGGAGAGTTAATTGTAGCAATCTACGGAAGAAACTTAAAACCTTGAGGAGCGTGATATTCCACCCACTTCAAATTTGGCCAATGTAGACTGACGAGCGTGTTGGCTGAGCCAAGGAACACTGAAAGAAAAGACAAGGGACGGCGTACGCTTTCTTTCAACCTGCAACAGTAGAACAAAGCCGCCGTGAACTCTGGGGTGTGATTCCTAAAGAGATAGCTGTGGCTTTATTGCACTATTGTTAGTTGAAAGAAAGTGTATGTCGTGCCACCTGTGCCTTATTCTTTTGTCTCTCCTCAAATTCGGCATAGATTGTGTTCTTGTAAGCAAACTTCTGACGCACTGTCATACTGTAGCGGTACAGTCGGCCACAGAAGTTTACAGACCATGCGAGCCGTGGCCGAGCTGCATCACTGAGCTACCTTGTGGCACGGCGCCTGTTGTTGAGACCCATAATGCGCGCATGCGTGTTTTTTTGTACTCACATTCATGTCAACTCTCCCGCTTCCGGCTGACACCTTAATTCTTATCCTCACGAATACGGCGCCAGGCGATGCTTCGGTAGCCGCTGGCAGAAGCTGCGATACCAAATCTATCTTGCGACATCCAGCATGGAATTGTTTTTCCCAGCTCAATAACCAGGAAGATGGCCATAATGTATTTTTTTAAAACCTTTTTTTCTTTCTCAAATTTTTTTTAATTCTTTTAATATTTTATTTAATAAACTGTGCAATATATATAACTTTCTGGATTAATTGTTGTCACTGACTGCTTGACAAGGAAACAAAACAAAAAAAGGAAAAGGCAGATTGGCTGTTTTCCTGGAGCAGGGAAAAACAATACAGTACCATGCCATACGGCGGGAGGTGGAGTTGATATCTCAGCTTCTGTCACTCATTGCGCCATCGAGATACAGCTGCGGCACGGCTGCCAACGGTGAAGCGGCGTCCGGAGCCGTATTAGTGAGATTAAGATGGTGTCCGCCAGAAGTGGGAGAGTTGACATGCGTCTGCGAGTAGCAAAGGACGCGCGTGTGCGCACTACGAGACTCGACCACGAGCACTGTGGTGCAAGGCAGCGTGGTAATGCAGCTCGGCCATGGCTCGCCTGGTTCGTAAACCTTTGTGGCTGACTGTCCAATAGAATGGCAGCGTAAAGGCTGTTCTGGTTTTGCCGTGGCTCTGTAGCATGTCTGTTATGGCCCTTCAATAGCTTGCTTACCTTTTGCAGAGCTCGTAGACATTTCTAGAAAGTTACAGATTTGCAGCGCTGCCTATAGTCTTCTCGTAGGAAAGACTGATTGCTTTTTCGTAAGCAAGCCTCTGACAAGTGGTATGTATAGTAAGTAGAATACCAGCATAAGTCCAGTTTTCCCATAGCTACGTAACATTATTGCATTAGCCTTGCAATAGCCTGCTATCCTTCGCGCTGCTCGTGGCCACTTCCGACAGTTGGTGGTGCTGCCAATAGCATATCCTTGTTTGTTTAACATAACTTTGTTTGTGTACAAATGGTCAGTTTGTGGACTCTCTAGCATCTCTAACATGAATGGACACACAGGCATACCTTGTTGATGACGAAATGCAGCGGTGCCCCTTTCCAACAACAGGTGAGAACATAGTCCCCGGGACGAGAGACGCAATCGCGGACAAGGAAGCCGCCGTCTGCCGTCATGAGTTCCTCGGCTCGCTGGCGTGGGATGGTGCCATGGTACCAGGCGTGGCTGCGCATGTCCCTGCTGTCCAGGCCCAGCTCCCACTCAAGCGCCTTCTTGAGGTCCTCCGGAGACGTCTCAACCGTCACTGGATGCTCCTGCAACACAGTTTGCCAAAGTGTACGGCTGTGACGCACAGAGTGTGTATCTGTTTCAGTAACATTATTGTATATCCAAGTCACCAAATAAGTATGGTACTCGTTTCAGGAGGTCTTGCTTACCATGCTGGACCTGTGACTAGAACCGGTACTAGAGGAACTGGAACTGCAGCGCTTGAGTGACACCACGGGGGACGTGATGGCGGAGTGCACCAGGACACTCGGGTAGGATACCGTCTTCCCCACCAGGTTGCTGGGCCTGCGGGGGATCAACAAAGGACGTTCATGTGTGCAATGGAGTAGCCAGACCTTTCACAGCATATTATAGGAAAAGAAAGCTGCTTCCGAGGTTGAAGTTTATGGCTGCTGGAAGAAGGACTGCAGTTGAAGCAACTGAAAACAAAAGTATGCCCTGCGTTGAATAATGATTTATCTTCCGTCCTGCCCGTGTATTTGATGATGAACCTTGTAAGGCCCAACACAGGAATATGTTATATCATTTGATGCAAGGTCAAACAGGAAAGTTCCAGGCCGTAAGCCTTAAGCAAGGTGGTGACACTCGGGCACGTTCGCCCGATCCTTTAGGATGACCAGGATATCAGTAGTTTTTTACTTCACAGCGTCGAAGTATGAAAACAACAGCAAAAAAACATGCATTCAAAGCAGTCGTGAGTCGTAACGCGTTACTAGTATCGCGCTACTGTACTTTTGTTACTCTTCGGTAACTTGTAACAATAACGAGTTACTTTTTAAAAATGTAACTTGTAACTGTAGTTCTATTACTTTTTCTTAGGTAACGATAAAAGTAACGAGGTTACTTTTGTCATTACTTTTCAGTTTTTTATGAATAATATATCATTGAACGAGTACAATCTAGCTAATCCTGGCATTTTCCAAATTGTCTGTTCTAACGTTTCGAGTGTTAAGTTGGCCTTGCACAAACTTGTAAATACGTTATTTCTCGCGAGTCATGACCCAAATATAGTATAGTCACGCGTAGTTGTGATGGAAAAAAAATTTAGTTATCTTCACGCGCGCGCTTGTACTTTGTGACTGGACACTTACATCTTAGTAGTCCTGTGCGAATAGTGGATTTTGAGTTCGAAGCGAATTCAAAGCGAATAGTGGTTTTGGCCGAATATTTTCGATTCGAATATCGAATAGTTTTTCCACGACTTTCACTACCATTGCATAATGCTTAGACGAAAACCCAGCTAAACTTGTGAAGGTTGTTCCACTTGTTCATTTATAAGCTAAGTTTAATCTATCTATATTTATGAACTGTGACCTCAGAAGGTCTGGTGTCTTGGGATGGCAAGTAAACAACGAATTTGACACGAAATGAATCCCCATGGAGTTAATTTACAAATCTTGCTATATAAAATATTCTTTCTTTAATCTCGAGTGAAAAAAGAATGAATTGTGCATGATGAACGCAGGTTGTAAGGGCATCTCTGCCTAACATAGTATACTCTTGCATAACAGTTTAATTTTAAAACTTTTACTTTAATGTAGATATACACATTCACAAAGTTTGCATTTATTTTCAAATACAGTCGGCACAGGTGCACCATCCTGCTTTGAATGTATGCTTTACTTCCAAGCACGCAATTACGATATTCATACTTTTCAAAGTTTATCGCGGCGGGTTACCCCGTTGAGTGCGCTTCTTACCACGCACCAGTGCGATGTGGAGAAGCAACAACCGCGAAGCTCGCTTCCGCGGGTATTGCTTCTCCGCAGCGCACTGGTGCTTGGTAAGAAGCGCACTCAACGGGGCCAACCCGCGGCAATCAACACTTTGAAAAACGCGAATAGTACAGTTCTTCTCGAAGTTCGAAGCGAATATCGAATAGTGTATTATTCGGAACTACTATTCGAAATTTAGAATATTCGCACAACCCTACATCTTAGTATCTTGAAGCACTATCAATGTTGCCGCTGTTCTTTTTTTTGAGCCGTAAAACAACAATACACGCCGAGGGCATTGCGATTGTTTCGTATTTTCATTAGCACCACTAATCTGCACTGCTCATGCTTCGTATTTTGATATGCGCCTTTTTTCCGGCGTGGTGTCATCAGTCGAGGCAAAATGTACTGCTATTTGCCTGAGGTTTGCTCGTTGCTCTGGTTGCGCGTTGTCTGTTCAGCAAGGGCAAAGACGTGTTCGCCACCAAAAACAAGGGAAACTTTCAGACACTAATTTCGAGAAGCAGCTTCTGCTAAGTTACAATATGAAGTAAAAAGCATACTTTTTTAATTTTATGCAATAAAACTTGGTGATGGGCGTTTTCTAGTTTTTCCTAAATGTTTCGTGTTATAGAAAAGTATCTGAAAAGTAACATAGTTACTTTTTAAAAGTAACTTACCCAAGACTGATTCAAAGAAAGGCGTATAATCATCAAAACACACACGGGTTCCCGAAAGCTTGCTCTCCAAGGGGAAAGCTCAATAGAAGTGCAAGAAGGGTGCCAAAAGATAATTCGGCCCAATGTCACGTTTATTTTCAACTCGCCGTCTCCCTTCTCAAGCTCTGGGTATGCATTCTTCTCATATCTGTCCGAGATTCGGGAACTATAATGGCATACCCAAAATGGCAACTGATTCTAAGTGGAGTTATTAGAGGACGAGAAAAATGAATCGTCACAAGCTACAAAACGCGCGTACGAGCGCGCGTGCATGGAGTGCTTATTTAGTAGAGGACAACGCACTGACCCCTTCGACTCGCCACGCTGCACATTCTCGAGCGCAACTCCTCCTCCCCCTCAAAAAAAGAGAAAAAGAAAAACACAATTCTCCCCTTCCCCCCTTTCACCCTCCGTTTATCCCAAGTTCTCTTTCAGCTTCATTTTATCATTCCATGCCCTCCACGCGTCGTCTCCTCTTCCCACTCCCCGCCAGTCCCCCTTCGCTCGTCTTATTTTCCACCGTTTCTTTCCACTTTCCCTTTCCCTCTTGCCGATCCTTTCAACTTTTCCCGCTCCGCCGTTCACGGGCGAAAGAAAAACACAGAGGGTATCTAAACAAAGAAAAAACATTAACGAAACAAGCGAGGAAGAGCGCGAGCTTTCTTCTCCGATCCGGTCGACTTTTTCTGTTGTTTACCTCGTCCGTAGCTGCTGCGAAAAAAAAAAAAAAAAAATACAGGGGTGGGAGGCGGGCCGTCTGAATTCCGTTGGCGCAACATCGAGCAATGCGACGTAGCGTTCGGAAAACGCAATGATAACAACAACAATGCGAAAGACCCGCCTTTGCTTCCCTGCGATCCGGTTCGGTTACTTCCGGACTCGTTCACGTGCGTCTTTTTCCCTCGTCTTTTCCTTTTTTTTTTTCTTTACGCGCGCGCACGCACGCACACACACACACACACACACACACACACACACATGTATATATATATATATATATATATATATATATATATATATGGATGGGCAGTATTTCAAATACTTTGTGTATTTTGCATTTGTATTTAATTACAAATCGGGTAATGTATTTGACGTGTGTAATTAAATACTAAAATGGGGGTATTTAAAATACAATTGTAATTAAATACAATTTTGTGGGCGAAAATGCACCCCTCAAATTTATTGTCACTGTCCACAGCAGGAAGAAAACTATGTTCTGCACCGAATGCAGTGTCTCTCAATGAAGCACAAGCGTTTGGTGACTGTGATTACGGCGCCGTAATCACAAGAATAGTGACGAAATCGACGTTCACATGTAGACTGGCTAAATAAGCGCCTGTGACAACTTGTGATGCTTTCCAGCCTGATTTCAATCCATATTTTTGCTAGGAACATTCTAAATGCGGGGGTCGTCCAGATTTTCGTAACTGGTGCGAGTTGCAACAATAAAAAAATTCTCTAGCTAGTGCTGCGCGTCTTGGTCGTCTCGGTCCTTTGTTGGTCTATACCAAAATGTAATCGAAAAAAAAAGCTGCTCGAAGCTGTGTACTTTTTTCACCTATTACGTCCAAGCTGATTACATGTTTTTGTGATTATATTTATATTACGTTACTATCGCACACTAACTCCCGAGTGTGCGATGCAAAATTAAAATGAGATACAAAGAAACCCGGTGCAGGTGCCCTGAAGTCGCTGACGCAAATTTTGAGGGATGTATTTGGAAAAGTATTTGGAGGAGACCAAATACATTTGGTTGTATTTGTATCTTGTACTTAAATGCTTTTTTTATAAATGTAATTAGATTTGTAATTAAATACATTTTTGACGAAGTATTGCGTATTTGTATTTCGATACATATTTGCATGTATTTTGCCCATCCCTGTAATATATATATACTTTTTTTTTGGAAACCGTTAACTAAATATTAAAAAAAAAAAAATCGTTCGAAGCGACCCAAAGAAATTAGGATGAAAATATAGTACTTGTTCATACAGTTTTTTTTTCTTTGTATCTAGCGAAAAGCAGATATACAGCGCCAAATAGATAGGACATAAAATAGGCACCGAAAATTGAATCGATCGATCGACTACTGACGTTTCTTTGGGGATTTTGTGCGCGAGCAGCAGTACAAACATCGCGGTAAACTCTGCGTCTCTGGTTATGACAACCAGAAAGGCTCGTTAAAAACACTCACACGAAGCAGAGCAGTGTTGCGTTCGCGCACCGCAAAATCCCGTTTAGAGTGATTCAAACGCTAACATTTCAATTTGCTTTTATTTTTCCGCTTTAAAAAAGCTTATGGCATTACTAATCGTGGAACACAAGGTGTGATACGTCCGGACTTCGAAAGGACGTCAAAACCAGGGAGCGCAACTATGGCGGCGTGCAATGTGGGTTCAAAATATTATGACGAGGCACATGTGGGTCCCGTGAGTTAGAAGGAGAGTAGAAAACAAAACTTCCTCCGCGTCAGTTTTCTTAGTTTCTTCTGTGTGTGCGTGTAGAAAGGGCCGTCTCCACACACACATGAACAATAATCTACCGGCTAATAAGCCGCAGCGTTACGCTAACAAGGTAAATCTGCAACACTGGCTATTGCTCAAGGCTACCCGTTCATTAATACCCCCCCCCCCCCCCCCCAGCTTTTAAAAAAAAAAAAAAAAAAAAAAAACATCTGCACATCGCTCAAAGAGCGGATATCTCTCGGCCGTCAACAGCCGAAAGCGTGCTGCGAAACGTTTGTTTTATGGTAGTTTAGTTTATTTCCCCCCGAATACTGGCTCGACAGAGCATTCTCAACGAATTCTGCTCGCGGGAGAAACAAAAACGCCGTGCTGATCACCGTAAATCC